TCCTTATCAAATAATAGTCAAAAAGAAATATTTTAATTTCAAAAATGTTCGATTTTATTTCGAAAGGAGGATTAATTTCGTTCAATTTTTTTCGAAATTTTGTAAAATTATTTATTATACTAATATTTATTTTCTATGAGCGCTCAACCTTTCTGACTTCACTTGGCTTACTTCACTGGGCTATCGGACGAGACATATTTTACAAGTTTATTAATATTTGGCGATAGAAATATAGATGATTTGCCGAAATGATCCGGAAAAAGTCTACTTTTGAGAAGAGAATTCCAGCAACAGTATTCCGGAATGAGAGCCATGAATAATGAACCATTCTATGACCCATTTTACTATGACATTTTGAAATTACTGAAAAATTATCTTAAAAAAAAATAAAGTGAAATGAAAAATAAAGATGATTTTTAGCTAAATTTATGCATATTTTAGCAATAAGGAAGCGCTATCAAAAACGGAAAAATTTCAACGAAAAAGATTTTTCAGTAATAATATGGAATGCAAAAGAAAAGAAAAAAGAAAGAACCAACTCATTCTACAACAAACTATTATAATAAAATGACTTTGATTTGACCGATTTTCTTCAAAACGTTTCTTCTTGTTTTGTCTATAGAAAAAGAAATGTTTGACGGACCATAGCAGATGAAACGGATTACTGTAGAGACTGGTCAATATGTGCAAATTGTTGGTGATGTGGTAGCCAACAATATTTGTAGATTGCAACTGAATATTCCTGTAAATTGAATATTCTTAATTTTTTCTAGGCCTCCTAGATTCCCATATTCAGCTGCTGGTTTTAGCTGGTTTTAGCTTCAACAATCGGCTAAAATGAGCAATGTGCAACTCCTTTCTATAATTCTGAATATTTTTCTTTCATTGCATGGACAAAACCGTCTTCACCAATCAACATCTTCCACTGTTGCGATTTATGCTAAGTAATGATCAGATCGAAATAATTTCAATAATCGAAATAATTAAAACTTGCATCAAAATTTTTGAAAAAAAATTTTTGCAAAAATTCACCAAAATTACTATTGATATAGTGGATTATACGATACTTTCTAGACTTTATTTAGAAATTAGAAATTATTTATAAATAATTTTGAATTATCATCAAATATTTAGAAAAGTATTGGAGTTCTAAATTTAGCATCAAATAACTAATGGCTAATAAGTAAACCAACTAATTTAAATGATTTCGGCTAACTGAAATGAATGAAATGAAAGCGATAGACTGAACTGGCAAAATATGTCGTATTTCCGAACGATTCACAAGTAATTTTCAGAAAATGAGAAATTTTAGCTATTTATTAATTATTTACAAAAATTAGAAGTTACTTTATTTAATTTCGATTTATTTTGGTAAATTTCGATTGAAAACGAGAATTTTCGTCGCTTCTATCATAGATGAGCAATTATTTATTCTACGGTAGCGATTATGGTATTTTTAAGTTTCAATTAATTTTGCGAAAAAAATAGAAAATCGAATTACAAAAAAGGTTGTAATTGTAGACATTTCGACGCTAAATGACACAATTTTGCACAAATTCTCACCTAAAACTGTGATTCGATTTTTTCTATTTTATTTTTTTCAATCAAGCAATTATTTTTAGTAGAAATATTCTGTTATTGATTTAATTTGGTATCAGTATAAGCCATTTATATTTAGGTGACTGGGCGGAGAACCTTCATTTCTACTAAAATCAGTTTCAGAAAATAGTTAAATTGCCAAAGAAGTTTTTGAAATTTTTGAAAACTTTTTAAAATCACCAATATTTAGTCATATGCTTTGAGATGCTTGAAATTTGATTATTACCGATTTTCGCAAAAATTACAAAATACAAAGTTTTTATTCAAGTTTTTTTATCAAATTTCATCTACATCAATCGCTTCAATGATGAATTTCGGAAGAATGGCGGACAAATTCGCGAGTTAATTTAGTTAAAATGCTGAAAAATTAAGCAAAAGAATTGATTAAAAACCTTAAAACTTATATTTGACTTGAGTTTTTTTTAGAATCAAATTCTATACATTATAAGTACAATGCAATTGGTTATTTCGACTGAGGTGCCATGATTTTCATTCTCTATCCCTTGATGATAGTAGCATGTAATGTGCATAAAATAGTAATATGTAATTAGAATGATATCCTACTGTTATTGAGGATTCACTGGTACTTCTATGGCCAAGTAACTCTCTGTCGAAATACTTGTTCCAGGCTAGAAAAATTCATTGAAGCTGATAAGTACTTTCAGAGAATTGCTATTAGAAACGAAAAAGATAACGAATGATTAATTTTCAAGGAATTTTTAAGGTCAAGGACTGTCACTTCACGGAAAAAATACATTTATAGAAGTCGATGCACTTCCTGAATAAATGTCCATTAGATGGATGATGTACTTTTAATCACAATAATTTAAAGTCGAGTAACAAATGATTCCTCCTGATGATGGCTATGGTTAAAATTAATCCGAAAGATCCGCATTCTAAAATTTCATTTAAGATTATTTGAAAATTCATCTGTTCTTTTCCAATTAATAAATAATTAATAACATTTTATTATCAATTCTGATAAAGTAAATAATAAAGCCGACGAATTTATTTTATATCCTAATATATCTGTTATCACCCATGCGTTACGATCTCTGAGTTTTGCGAGTATATAATGTTTTACTTTCTGCTCGAATAAAACTGAATGGAATATTAATCGTCTTTTTTTTTATCATTTATATTGATATTGCTGAATAATCTTATACTTCCACACTGCATTTATATTTATATATGGCACTTCTATCGCTAAATAAAAATAACCAAATGAGACTAAGCAAAAATGGCAAAAATGGTGAGCGCTCTTAGAAGAAGAAGGAGACCTAATTTAACCTAATTTATTACCTCCAAATTTCCCAAAAAATTCAACGGAATTTGATATCGTAAAAATTATAAAATGAAATTTTTATTATATTTATATCCATCATTCGTTATACAATTCAAGTGCGAATAAACTAAAGAATGAGAGGATGAAAAAAAAACAAAGAGAATCACAATCGAACAAAGAAACAAATCGTCTTGTTTCTTTGCCGAATATCCTTGAAAAATCCTTCGGACTCTCTTAGAAAACCGCTATCTTTCAACGATTCACCATAATAGTCTTTAGTTAATTTTTGTTTTTTTGCTTTTTCTCATACATTTTATATAATACATACATACATACATACATCTATATCTATACATACATACATATATATCGTCCTCGCACTGGTCATCAACATACCAAATCAGAAAACATATTGTTGTCTCCTTTCATTTCAAAAAGGGAGGAAAAATGTGGAAATTCTGCGATTCCTACTTGAAAAAAAAAAAAATTATATTTATGGAAATATTTAATTTATACAATTTTATTTAATTTCTGAAAATGTTATCAACGATTCTCCAAATATTCAACTGAATCATAAAAAAGTGCGAATCTGGTTGTTATTTAAATATTCCCCTCCACCAACCTCCTATCGTTTCTTACTCCGCATTGCAATTTCATGTTTCTGCGAATTATTTAAGAATAAATCAATCTGATTGAAGCTTTCCTAAAGCTTTTGGAATATCTATCCTTGCGCTATCGGCGGAATCACCAAGTGAGGGCGACCATATTTAAAAATATATGCATATATAAATTTATCCTGGAAAAAACTCATTTATTCCCTACGAAATCTGTTAAACTTTGTTGAAATTCTTCGAAATCCGCATTCCCTATTCTCAGTGATTCTGATTTGATGGGACCGTAGAAATCTTCTTTCATCTTATTTCCTAAGCAACATTCGTCTAAATTTATGCCTTCAAGCTTAGCTACATTTCTGCCACACTCCATTATTAACGTATTACCGTAACTTCCCATTATTTCTCTCATAACTTTGATCAGCAAATTTTCAGTTATCACTACGAAAATCACCGTATCTTTTTCAATATCATATTCAAAGACTTCCTTTCTTTTTCGAAACCATATAACGTTCCACAAGAATCATTATACTGGTTGAACTTTGCAGAAGTGTAGCTCCACACCACGTTAACCTCGCCATAATACACCGCAGAACCAAAACTCATTTTCTTTTTACCTTTTTGCTACCACTCGCTAAATTTAATTCTTCATTTTGCCTCACTGTATTTTCGCTGTATTTTCAGTCTGAAAGATTCCAAAATTCCTTTAAATAACGCCAGCTGCACTATTATCATTTTGCAGTTTTTTCTATGGTTTTAACCATTCCAAATCAAATTTAACTCATTTTCATTTTTTCCCTTAGTCCTTCTTGAAGTGCACTTTTGTCAAACTGTTATAATTCGTAAAAATCAAATGAATATCGATTGAATGAGTAGGAAATCGGTGGGAATTTAAAGATGAGGAAGAATAATACATTTGTTAAAACTGCATATGATGGTTCCGAAAGATATTATGACGGGTTTAGATGGAACATCAAGAAATATGCCAAGTTCTAAAAAATTCTGCTGGTTCGCACTTCTCACTTTAGGCGCCAATCATATAAATAATTGTAAATAATGGATTGTTCTTGTTGCTTTGTTGCTCATCAGTGGAAACAAGCAAAAAAAAATTAAATGCGAGGAAGAATATGTACCAAGATTGGTCCTAGGAAATATCCACTCACTTGAAAAGTGAAAACAGAATAAAAATAAAAATTTAAAGTGTTAAAAAATATAACATAAGTATAAAAAATAATGTCAAATTAAAACACGCTGAACCCAACTAATCAATCAAAAATAACTAATCAGTACCAACCAAATTCTAAAAAATAAGAATGCAAAATACAATAAGTAAAAATAATTTCCAAGCAAATGACCGACCATTTTAACTCAAAGATTTCCATATTTTATAGATATTGAAAATGATCTGGACAAGAAATGATGAGATCGATGCAAGAACTGGCAGAAAAAAAATTAATAAAAACAATTGATAAAAATAAAAATGTGGACAAAATCTTATTTAATTATCATATATCTATTTCTTCAATATCGAAAGTATCTTCTACAAGATCATTCAGTTCAGCGATTTCCTTTGAACTGTAATTTTTTGAATGTTGGAAATCAAATGATTTATGCACTTTCGAAAGGAATGGAACAATTCTGAAAAAAGATATTACTATGGTAATTTAAGAAAATGTGGTAATTTAAATATTTCGTTGGATTATACTTTTACAGAAAAGGAATGAAAACAAAACCCAGAAATCCCTTTACAATATTCTTCGATACATCCCACATAAAAAAATTAGTAATGAATAGCGTAGTAATGAAATCAAAAACGAATTAGAAATATACAAAGAAAAAAAATCGCCGGAAAATCCACTTCGAAAGGCAACCTTACATTCTTGCTTGAATACTTTCATTTGAGACTCGATATTGAAATATTTTGGTTTATGAAACATATACAACCCCCTGCCTGAAGAAAATAATTACGAACGAATAAATATAAAATTAATTCTTATATGAATGAGAAAGTACATAAAGTCAGCTTTTTGCGCTTTCTTTTCATCAAAAAAAAACACTTTTAAATGAAATAAAGATAGAAAATGCAAAAAATATAGAAGATAGAAAATGCAAAAAATATAGAAACCTTTTCGAGCTTCACACCCATAATTATGGAAGATAGCAGACCTTGTTACCATCTAAAACCTCAATTTAAATGTATTTTTGAAAAAACTTTAAATCGGTGGCTATATTTTTAAAAATTTACAAAAAACGCACTTCAATATGATATGTAGAGATTTTAATAGCTTCATGGTTTCGATTACAAAAAACGAAATCGGCAAAGCTAATATCTTCCAAAACACTTCGAAGTGCACTTAAAGACGCTGCAAAATTAGGTTCATGTTCTTGTACAAAGAATAATAGCTGAAAGATTAAATACCAAATTAATATCTTTAATATTTAACAAAAATATTAATGGAATGTATAAAGAAAAATGTGATTCTGTGAAAGAATTTAATTGTGGAAGAAAATAAAAGAAAATAAGAAAATAATTACGAACCACTTTTATAGTAATATATAACTAAAACACATGAAAACTTATATAAATTTCGGTTCCCTATAAAAACTACCAAAAATCAGATCGCTCAAAAGACAATAAAATTTATGACAATAAAATTAATTAAAATTATAATGCTCTATAAACTCACATTCTCGCAGCTTAATGAAAGTTGATCGATAATAGCGTTTATATCATCTTTAGGAGGATAAGGTCTATGATGTAACCTTGTTAATGATGGATTCAACGTTGATTCGATTCTGAGCCATTTATCACATTTTTCTTGTTTCCTAAAAGATAGACTCATTCTTAAAATAAATGGCGATATTGCTTCTTTTTTTTCTACAAAATTTATTTTTTTTATAATTTTTTCTTTGGTTTTTCCTTTCCCTTTTTCATATTATTTTTCTTTTTTATATTTCCTTACTTGAAAAAAACTAAGAAATAAGTTGTTCACTACTTCCTTTTCGCTTCATTACTTTATTTCTTCATGATAATTTATGAATGATTTTGGAATCGAAAATTAAAAAATCACCTTTTTGCATACATCAGCTTACCAATACAGTGAAAAAAATCATAGGAAAAATCAACTGTAAATCGATCGCATTCACTGATAAGTTTATCTTCTCCGTTAGAATAAAACTGCAAATTATTGACTGCCAATCGAACATCACCTAGTAGTAAAATTATTGAAAAAAACAAAATTTACTCGAATTTTTAAATGTTGCAGCTTTCCTCACGAAATCACCTTTATCATGAATTTTTATCACAAAACTGGAAATCGCTTTCAATTTTTTTAAACTGTCTTATCATTAATGAAAGTTGTTCGATAATAGCGTTTATATCATCTTTAGGAGGATAAGGTCTATGATATAACCTTGTTAATTCAACGATGATTCGATGATTTACGGTAAAAAGCAGAAAAATTATTAATTAAGTGAAGGACAAAAAAAATCCAAAAACAAAACACAAACCATTAGCCAATTCAGCAATGCATTTGACATTCTGTGGTGCTATAGCCAGTTTTGCAGTTGAGATAATCCTTTTAAGTGCTTTCACGATGAAAGTTAAAGCACATGGATTAAACGTAATAATATCGATATTACATTCTTGTACAATTGCTGCAGACAATAAACGATGGGGATTTAAATACCAAGACCCTGTTGTACTCAAACCAAAAACAAGCATACATTTACATGTCCGCGTCCATTCACGAAGAATTGAATGAAACTGATCCACTTCACTAAAATAATAAATACACGAAAAAATAAAAAAAAAATACATGAAAAACATCAGTATCGACTTTTTCAACTCCCTTTCTATTATTATCGACTTATTAGTTACTTTATCATAGAGAATTTGGTGAATATGAAACGAATTACGACAAAAGCAAGATCTTTCCCATTTCTATTTGGTGACAGTAGAATAGAAGAATGGTACCGTAGCGAGCACTTTGACTCGGGTTTCTGCTTTTTTAAATGTAGCATTAAGCCTATCATTATAAAATCTCGGTGGTGATAGTAAATCATTTGTTTCTTCAAGTGATTCTATTCTAACAGCCAGTGGAACCTAATTAGCAACTTATAGCATTTCATTTGAGTTTAAAAAAAAAGAAGGAAGTGAATAATTTTGTTTTAAAAATCAATCAATCCGCTACAAAGCCAATGAAAAATGTCCTTCGCCCACTTCAACAGCTCATTTTTTGTATTATAAATTTTTTTCCACTGCGAATTTAATAATCATTGAGATTGAGCCGTGGGAGGAAGAGAATGAGGAACGTCTGAGGGAAAAAATATTGGTGAGAAGTGAGAGAGAAGGTTGTTTATGATTCATTTATATTTATTTTTATTTGACTAACGTTTGATTTATGCTTTTAACCCGACTAATACGGTTTAATCATGGAGCTTTGGGTTTTTGAGTTGAAATTATATAATTATATATATATATATATATAATATATTATATAAATATTTGTGCTATTATTTGGATTCATAAAATGGACCAATATTAAGATCAATAAAATGTGGTTATAGTGCCCCGTGGTAGTATCCGATGAAATTAAAGGAAATCGAGCAAAATTTACAAGTTCAAACACTCAAATCCAACATAATGACAACTAATTCGCTTGTTGTTGGAAATCATTGCAAAAGGAAAAGTCTGCTTCAAAAATTGTCGTTGCAGAATGAAAATAATGTAATAAATAAATAAAAAATAAATAAAAAATAATAAATAAAAAATAAATAAAAAATAAATAAAAAAAAATGTACGCAGAGTAAAAAAATTAAAGGACTTCAAAACTACGAAAAAATTAATATAAATTAATATAAACTAACCAGTAGAATAAATTAGGTAAAAATTCAACAAAAAGCATTTTTTTTGAATGTAAATTATGCAAAGAGGCACGGCTCGAGGAGTTCAGGAACTCAATGAAGATCTCAGCCTAAATGAAACATTAAAAATTCGACGGTCAAATCACACATACTTTTTTTTAACGACTATTTCGACATATTACTCACAAAATTATCAATTCAATATTTTACCTGAGACTTTTCATAAATATTTTCATCACCCGTATCCGCACGAAAAAGATCATATTGAACAGGAGATTCCCATTCGATTAATTCGATGTTCATTTCATTGCACAAAGATTTTATAGTAGCTGTTTTGCCACTACCGCAAGGTCCAATTAGGAAAAGTATCTTTGACTGTTTGTTTTTTTGAGAATGACCAATAATCCATTGCTTCACCTGTTATGCAGAGAAAATCTAATATAACAGTTTAAAAATAATCAGAAATTTGGAAAATAATGAAGGAAATCATTATTTACCAAAAAATAAACTCATGAAAAATGGTTGAGTACCAAAAAATATTGAATAATATATTAGCAAAGATAATGGCAGATTCAACAAAATCAATTAACAAGTCATAACCTGTTTAGGCATACGTTCAACTTCGTATAAACCTGTCATTAAAAATGAAGGTTGCCACAGACCCATATATAACCTATGTTGAAAATGAGGAAAAGGATAATGCTAACTTCTGCTACTTTTTTTTTGTGCACAGCTAGATCTTCTGTTCTCGTTGGTGAAAATCGATCAGCGAATAACATTGATGAACATTCATTTTCCATGTAATTTCCTACTTTCAACAACGATCGCTCCATCTTTTTCCCGGAAATGCCACCTTGAACTACACTGCATCCAGACCCACCTTCCTGCCGATCGATCTACAAATAAAACCTATTCCCATCGAACCAATATGGAAATAATTCCATATCCAAGAATAAATATTACTACTGCTACTATAATATGCCGTTCACCAAAGCTGCAGTTGTTCTGTTTACTATATATAAATGCAGCCTACCTACGGTACTTTTGCCTTTCTCCAAAAAATGCCAAATCCATCTTTTATTTGAAAATTAAGCGCCAATAGACCACATACTACGGTATAAACATAACTGCAAATTATAGTAGCTCGAACAATTTTACAAAGTGGAAAAGGCAAATCAATCATCAATTTAAGTTTTAAACCGTTTTTCCCATTTCTTTTTCCTATTTTCATGAAATTTAAAATTTACAACAAATTCTTACTTTATGTTTAATTGCTTTTTTCGACGAATTTACGGTTTGTTTCTGCAATTCTCCACAATTCGTCATATTCAAACCATATTGATAACTATTCGAAATCACAGATGTCACTGGACGCTGCTCGTCAAACGCAGATGAAAACCACATTATTTCCTTCGACATTCCTTATTCCATACAATAATTTTTTCCTTTATAAAAAAAATCTCTATGAAAAACTTCATTTTATAATTCTATATAAATTAAACTACACTGATTTGAATCGCACGCGAATGTATCCATCTTTGCTCAAATACTGCATGTATTAATAATGTTATTACAGAGCCTTCGCTGGTTAAGGCACGTTTTCTGCGGCCCACCACAGGAGTTGACGCATATTTCGTTACTTGTTAAACTGCTTGATGGGTGACGTAAAAAGGTCCAGTCAAGACCTGGATTGATTAGGGAAGATTTTGAACGCATAGAGGGACCAGCGATATACGGACTTAAACAATGAAAAAAGGAATGGCTTCTATTACTACTAGCGATGGCGTCGGAGCAGCTTGGAGACGTCTTACTCCTGTAGCCAGCGGAACCAGCCTAACCAGTAACGGTGGGATGTCAGAAGAAGACACTGGTTTGATTTACATGTATAATTCATGAAAAAATTATTGCTACAGTTGATTGATAAAAAATTTAAATAAATGATTTAGTTTGTCAGAAAATAACTGCATTTTCTATCCATGAAAATCTGAAAATATTCATTTATTCAATAATCGAGCATTTCAAAAAAATAATTTAATATTCACAGTTATAGCCCACTATTCTTTCATTATGCAATTCATGAGATATATCATCAGAAAACAAGAAGTGAAGAATTTAGATCAATGAACATCGAAAATATATATGCGAAAGTGGACTATCAAACTATAAAGAAAAAAAAAATTACAACAAAATTTGCGTGTGTTTATGCCACATCTACCATACTTGTAAAACTCCTCTTCTATCATTTCTTAATGAAGAAATATATACCAAAAATCAACAAAACTTTCAATAGAGGTAGTTTTTTCAAAAAAAATCCCATGAAGAAAAAAGAACGCTAGCGAAAATAACACGAAAAATAAAAAAAACGAATCGAATGGCTCAAATAATGAACAAATGAACAAATTTGCATGCATCAAACTGATAAAAACCAATAAATGCGGAGTTTGAGAAGGAAAAATTATATAGAAGCAACAAATATATTTAGTTCCTTCGTTTCTCCTTCACATGCATAACCGATTCACCAAATAAACCCGATTTAAAATAAAATAAAATAACAAGGAGAAACAACTTCTGACATCAAAAGCTTTTAAAAAATGCAATTAAGATAACTTAATTATAGTTAAATTGCAAAAACAAAATGAAAGAGAATAAATATAACAAAATGAACTAATTAACGAAATGATTTAATTGAAGAGTTATCAAAAGTTTCATCCCAAGCAGATTAGTCAATTTACACCGCGAAATATTGAAAGATAATCCTGAAGAAACCTCGTCTTTTATATGGAGTGTTGCTACATCAATTCCTTTCTATTGCTAGTTGAATATTTGTGTGTAAAATGAGCAACTCTCCAAGTTGGGCTGTTTGACTTAATTAACTGAGAAAAAGAAACCTAAAATCTAAAAAATCTAAAATCTAAAAACCTAAAGCTTAGGTTCAGAAAAAACAATGACTTATAACAAAATGAAGAAAAAAATAAACATATTGCCAAATTTCGTTTTTTTTCCGATTTTTCTGAAAATTCTTCCATCGAAAATATGCAGTTCTATCTCATTTTGATTTCATTAAGAAACTACAGAGCACAACGAAAATCATTACAATCGAACTTTTGAATTATTTCATTGCTGAAAGAAAATTACTCGAATCTGGTCTGATAAATCTATATGATAGCAAAGTTAAAAATAAAATTTTATGCGTAGAGAAAAGATTTATATAGATTTTCTAAGTTCTTTTAAGTTGCACTGTGCTTATAATTAAATTATATTTCAACAATTAAAATCCTATTCAGCGATGTGAATAGATTGAGCAAATTAAAAATGTGCATTCCTCAACAATTTTAGGACCAAATGGAATTGTTAAGAAATCACAAAAATCAGAATGTTCAATAAGCCGTTATTTATTATACATGCAAAGAGAATTAAAGTAACATCTCGGTGGATACCACCATTTATTTTCGTCGTTTTCTTTTTCCTATAGCGCATTTCGAGCATTGAAAAGACATTTTCTGCAATTGTTCATTAGCACAGTGTGAAAGCCCAACACAAATTGTGTGGAACCATTGGTCGCATTTGTCACAATTTATCTAAATATAAATATTTTTAAACAAAAACGCTAAATGATATCTTAAACTATTCTTATATACTAATCTTGCTTTATAATAGTTTTGGACTTATCTGAATGAATGAAAGAATAAAAAAAGATCGATGTGAAACAATAAAATGAACCCATTGAACTGGTTCGATATCCGGTTTTTTGCAGTTATTATCTAATGCACAAATTTCCGCTTCATCAAATTGTATTTCCTCAATTGATTCTGCAAAAAACTTTGGATCAATAACTGGCAAAAAAAAAGACATTTCTACATCAAATCACTAAGATATACGAAATTTAAATCAAGCAAAATGTTACATCTAAAAATTTATGCTTACGAATTAAATTTTTAATATCATAAATTATAAAACTATAAATATCATAATTTAAAAAAACTTTACGCACCTTTGTTTTTCCCAGGCTTTCGACCTCGCCCACCAAGATTTGTTTTTTTCTTCTTATTTACTTTTTTATACCTTTGCCCTTGTCGTTCTTCTGAATCAGACGAATATCGAAAATTTGTTTCATCTTTCAAATGTTTTTTCCTAGATCTTTGTTGCTGGCCAGAATCAACGGAAGAGGAATCGCTACGATAATTTATCTTTTTTTTATCTGATTTTTTTTTCTGCTGTTCACCGAAGTCGGGATCATCTGATGAATCGCTGGTGCTTGCCACTCGTTTTCTAAATAAGTGAATGAAGTTAATTAAATTAAGATCGATTAAAAATAATATTCATGATTAAAAAATACTTTAAAAAAACCAATATAAAAATTCAATTTAAAATTTTAAATAAAAATAAAAATTTTAAAAAAAGAAAATTTAAAAGCATAAAGTGTAAAAAAACGAATGTCGAAAACAAAAAAAAATTTCAAGTAATTTTTGTTTTCTTCCACCCATATTTCAAAAATAAAAACCTCCTAGGTGAACTTTTGTGCCTTGAAGAAGCTGAATTTCTAGTCATAAAAGGAAAAACAACTTCAGTAAGATCGAATAGAAGCCTTGTAGCCTGCAAAATCATTTTCAATTTTTTTAAAATCAAGCGTTATATTATAAATATTGTAAATATATAAATATATAATATATATATATATATATATATATATATATACCTCGTCAGTTTTAGTTCGTTTCTTCACTTTTTTCTGTTGTGACACTACTGGTGATTGAGTCCGAGAGCGAGAAGACTCGGAATGCCCATGACCTCGCCCTCAACACTTATAATTATTAAAATAATTATTGAGAAGAATATTGAGCTTTGCGAAATATGAAAGAACAGATAAATCGACGAATTGCAAAGAGGAATATGGAAATATGAGACCAAAAAAAATTTAAAATCCCTTAAGCCGAAACATTTTATTAATGAGATAAAAAATAACTTTTAGGAGATCGATGTAATGGTGATTGCGATAGCACGTTTAATGATTCTTTAGTGCTGTCAGCATTAGCAGATAACTTTGGAAGATTCATTGAAGCTGATGATTGCAAAAAACTTGTGGATACAACAGCCGATAAATGTGGAGATAGTCTAATCTTTTCCTTCGTTTGCTCTATAAAATCCTTTATTATCAAGAAAAGAAGAAAAAAAAATAATAAAACTAACCACTAAGAACTTCAACAATATTAGAATGAGAATCCGAAATCGGCGTGGACTGAACATCGGTATTTATAGATGGAGCCGCTGAACAAGAAATATCTTCTTTTTGATTTAATGGTGCTGGATTGGACAAAACTGATAAAGTGCTTGTATTGAGCTGTTGAATTGGACTCGGTACTGAACTATCACATTCCATTCTTTTAACGATATTCGCAGGTGGTGATGAATGAGGATCATCTGTTGCAGCTAATGATAAACTGGAAGAAGATGGCTGTGGAACATCTGTTCCATTTGAAACATTGAGTGGGGACTTAACAACAGCAGTAGGATTCTGGAAAAAAACTGGAACGGGAGTTTGACCAATAGGCATGGAGAGAGGAGCTGTGGAAGCTTGCATAACAGGTTGTTGGTACATTCTTTGTGCCAAACTACTTAACAAATTGGATCCAGTTTCCATCATGGGTGGATTCATATTTGACATACAATAAGTGCCAGTTTGCAAAGATGGAATTGGATAAGCTGCTGGATGAGTTTGAGGATTAGATGTGATATGTATCTGACCAGATGTTTGCACCACATTCTGACCTCGATTTGCTAGTAATGTTTGACTTGAGATATCCCAAGCTGGATCTGTACCATGTTCCGTCGGCTAGAATTATTAAATAATGGTCCAAAAATATAAATATTAGAAATAATAAAAAATAAGCTTGAAAGTCTTATTTGACATTTCCTATGAGTGTCGGACAATTTCTTGGTTTTAGACTCGAAATTATTCTATGAAAAAATCTTTCTATAAAAATCACAATTACTGAAAAATACTGGTGATATTTTCTAGAACCAAGAAATTTTACTGGTAAGCCAGAATAAGGAGTAATCTGGCAGTGCTGTTGCTGTTGAGATTGTTGTGAAAACTGTGGCGAAACACCAGATGGCGGCCACTGGCGTTGTGGCCATAAAGTTTGGAAATATGTTGAATTAAACTGATGAAGAGCTTGATAATAATTCGGAAATCTTGGTAAATTGCAAAACGGGGCAGTTGCCGAAGGTGTAGGTGCATTGGACGGTCCAGGCCAATGATGCAGTTCAACTGATTGTGGTACTGACGATGGTAAACGTGATATTTTCGAATTCGGATCATTAAATTGCACCTTAATTCGCAAAGTAAGAGAACGAAAGAGATGATGAAGTAAAGTAATTTTATCACATATACTATCAAAGAGAATGGCAAAAAAAAAATATTCGTATATTCTGTGCAAAAAATAAATTGATGAAATTGATTTAATCTTACATTTTGGGTAGAGGAGTCAGCGACGATTCGTCCAGGCAAAATTTTTGAGCTCATATCGAAACTAATTCGTTCACAAATTGTAATTGGCCGCTTTTGCACTGGTCGTCCAAATGGAACTTCTTCGAACTGAACAGAATAAAATAAAATAGCGACACTACTTATGCATGGATGCTATAAGATATGTGAGGTAAACAAAATTCTGAAATGAAGATTTGAAATTGTTAAAAAATATATGAAAAAATATGGTAAACAATTTTTTATGAAAATCGAAAAAAACTGCAAACAATTAAGTGAACTGCAAACAACTAACTGGAAACTTAAAGTTAAAAAAGTTAAACACAAAAGATAAAAACAGTGGTAATAAACTTACAACAAAAGTAAAAGGTGCACTATGTTGTGGAGCATATGTTCCAGCTCTTACCACAGAACCATTATCATGACCAAATTTGATGATATCACCTGGTTTTAAAGATGTTGGTGACTTTGGCTGAAAATATAAAAAATATGTGTGTTAACTGAAAAAAAAAATGCACTGGTTAATAAATTTATCAGAAATAATTGAAATATAAATTTAAAATTTCCTCTGGAAAAAAAACATTACTGATATTATATCCTTTTTCCTTTATATCACAATATTATATCCCAAAAAAATTTTTCTGTAAGGATAGTGGATTTCAATATTGAAACTAATTGAATATTGAAACAGGAATTTATTATCGCTTTATTTGATGCTCATAGAATATATTATTCACCCGAAAATTCATTTAATTTAACAAATTATCATAATAAATTTTGAAAAATACTCGAAAATCATTGATATATGTGCCATTCAATGACAAATCTGTCAAAATGTACATTTGTTTGCCATCCACTTCTTTCTCTTCTATGATCGCATGTTTTCTTGAAATCATATTGCTGAAAATTTGAATTAAAAAAGTTAACAATAAAAAATGAATTTTTTCTACTCATTTTATATAAAAATAATAAAATTAAAAGCATAGAATTCATCAGAATTCACAAAACCAAGCCAAATTTATATTACAGATATAAAATGAAAATTTTCTAAAATTGCAACCTGTTTTTGACTGATGTAAGTTTCAAATCCATATCATCATTTCTGCCGATCGTTGTCATTTCCGACCTATAAAGTGAAAAGATTCCAAAAAAAAGAAATCGTGGAATAGTGAATAGCTTAAAATATTAAATATAATAAGAACTTAATAATTCAGAAGAAGATTAAGCAAAAGTAAAGTATAATGTACTATTAACACATTAACACATAACTTAATATAATAAAATCGATCTAAACAATTATCAGAATAGACTACGGAATTGTTAAATAATTTTAAAGATGCTCAATTTTTTTAAATTTTTTATGATAGCGCTCATTTCTAATTAGATTTGCTCCAATAGCTTGTTGGACTAAACCAAGGAGTCACTTAGCGATAAAATTATAACCATTAATACCACTAATACCGAAAAACAGAATTCCTGACAGGAATAGAACCACAGCACAAGCATCCTGAAAGGGACGATAACCTATTCTACTATTCACCTAATTTCGAAATTAAAATTTAGTATATTGATGGTTTAAAAAACTGCACTATGTAATTTATAACAAAGGTGGGTCGATGACAAAATTACCACCTAGAATCGATGTCTGGATTTTCGGCCGACGCACTACACTCCATTGAATGGAAGTGTCGTCCTACGGTGAAGGCAACGGAGAGTAGAATGGCAACAGTGGGTTGTTGCTTAATTCAGAGGGCCAATGTTGAGATGTTTCCAACAGGACTAAACCTGTCTAACTCGTCTAAAAATCCGAGCGGGCGATTAACTCACCTTTACTATACTGTTAGTTATCTCAAAGGCAGTCCCTGGCATGTTTATCTAAGCCCAGCAGTGCGATTATAATCAGCAATGGTGAATGCTCTTTTAAAAAAATTCATTCCAAAAATTAATATACTAGGAACGAAAAATTTTAATAAACATATCATTTTAATCAAACAGATTCCCCTATCTTCGAACAATTACTTCTGATGTTCTTTAAATTTAATAAGAAGTTATAGAATTCTATAGAAAACCTACAACAATAGAACTAAACACCGTCTTACAAATAAACAAATAAATCAATAATAACAACAAAAATAGCAATAATAATAAGTCAAATAAAATGAAGAAATGACGATTTTATCTAAAATAAATAACCTTAAAATAAGAAAATCTTTTTTAAAAAAATTCGAAATTTTTAAATTCATACAGTATTATAAATTCTTCTTCATTGCTCCATATTCCTGTGTCACATGAAATATTTACCCGTCTTAATTGATACATTTTTCGACCAAATCTGTAATATTAGTCTAATATTGGTAATATACTACCTGAAGTTAGCAAAAAACCACCGAAAAAATTGGAAGATTAAAGGTTAAAAACACTTGAAAAAATAACCACAACTAACCGCATTTCCCAGAATATTTGTTGACAAATTCAATAAAAATTTTATGGCAATGAAAAATATAACACATTAAAGGCATCCAAAATTTAATTATTATCCTTTTTAAATAATATACATCTGAAAAATTTTTTATTCAAATAAAAAAAAGGAAAAAATAGAAAGCAATAGGCCGAATAAGGGAAAAGTAAGAGAAAAAAGCAAACAAATGAACTAAGCCAGTGGAAAAATAAAGAGAAAAGGCCAAAGCGACTGGCAGCTAAGTGTGACAAAAAATTTTGAAGAGAAAGCCCTATTCAAGAGCAACAAAAAGGACAGTAAAGCAATGACATTATAAAGAGTTAGGAGTCCGAAGTTCCTACATACAAAAATCACTCACACCTAGGTTCTTTTTAAGAGTACCACAATTACTTTCCAGGTGATTAGTAGATTAAAAGTCTAACTGGACTTGAACAATAAGTGCGATGAGCTATACTGGTAATATAAATTGGAACAGAAGGATAATACGGGATATTCAAAAATTTTAACGGTGACAATCGACCCTAAAAACGCGCACAACTGTCATTTCCTTACATCGCTCCGCCACTACCTCGTCACACCACCCCCAAAATGAAAAAACCCGCCATGACACCCCCACATCTCCAGCAAAATCCAAAAAAAGATGAAAGCCTGCAACAAGAGGCATCCAAACATCGTCAACAATCAATCGATAGACACGAGAAATAGAAATAAAACTTGAAAATAAAGCAGAGAAAGTTAAGGAACAGTGAGAAAATATGTTAATATACTCGCGGACAGAGAAATAAAGTTTTATTAAGTACAACGTGAAATGGAGAGATTAAAAAGGTGAAAGTAAAATATGAGAGGGTGAATTGCGTGGAACACCACGTGAATTACGTGAAACATCAAGTAGAAGCGACGAGATATTACGTGATAAAGTCCAAATTGTTGGTGATTTGGGTCGTCGAAAAAATTTTGCTGTTTTCTATGAAAATTTGAACATTCTATGAACATTATTTGATAAAAATTAATTTTAAAATAAAGGCTAAATAAATATAAAAGAATATACTTATAAATAAAATATAAATAAAAAATAAAAATCGATTTAATAAATTTTACAAATATACGATAATTCATTAAATATAATAATGTACTTTAAAATAACTATAAAAATTATAAAATAAGGCGTTGATCCCAGGAAAACTTCTTAGCAGCGCCAGCCAAGCCAGAAGGCTTCTAATGCATGAAGAAAAAATTTTAAGCAAGATCAGGCGAGGTTCAGAAAACGCATATGCAGTTTCCTGGGCAATCGTCCCAATATGTGTGCTCGGAAAAAGCTTACAAGCTCCGTCTGGAATTTGCCCTTCCGATGCCCGTAAATCAAGTTATTTCTTTTTAGAACCCATTCCAAGCCTACTTAAAGTTCTCCTTTTTCCTAGCATATCCTCTTAAACTATCATAGTTCTCCAAATCTGACTCTGCCATACCCCTATAATTTTTTTGTTTTATCCCTTTAATGACGTTTGAAACCCGCTATTTTCCTTAATGCTCCATCAATCCTCGCTATACTCTTTTGTCCTTTCCTATTGATAACGTTATCAAAAATTCCATCATTTTCAAAATTCTATCCCACCCCATTAAAATCGCTTGAATAATTTCTTCAGATCCTCAAAACTTCATTCCATCAAGCTCTATAATAAATTCTTGCTAAATCCCGACAATAATATATCCTTGAATTCCCTTATATTACTTGTCCGAACCTTGCTGCCCGAACGATCCCGTTGTGACAGTCCGCTAAATAATCCTGTGCACTCCTCTTTCGTTGGAACCTGCCTATACTCCCTTTATAGTGCTTGCGAAATTCTTATTCTTTAAGATATCTATTAGCGACACCATTTAACGACACCTTTTTCTATTGCTTTAATCCCCCTTCTTCAAATATCCTTTTCTCATATTTTCGTCACAGCCACCCACGGCTGTAAATGTTAATTTGCAGAATTAAGATAGCTGGTGATAGCGAAATGGAAAATAATTTTAAGGAAAAAACCACAAAGGGGATTTGGTGAGTGTCAAAACAATGTTTCAACGCCTGAAGGAGTATTAAGAGGATAAGTTGAAAGGATATATTAAGGAATATGCGAAGCTTAGGTTTTTTTCCGAAATTAATTCAGAAAAAATATGAAAAAAAATAAAATAAAAAATTTCTTCGCTAAAGTTTCGTATTAATTTCGTACTGTGGTTGTCTGGATAAAGAGCAAACCTGCCATTAGAGCCAAATCAGGGCAACTTGTCGCTTATTTCTCTCTCCGCAAGTAACTTTATAATGAATGATGGGAATCAAATAAACTGCAAATGGGACTCGAATATTTCAACGCGCACATCGCAAAAAACAACGTGGTCATGGTCGCAAGAGATTGAAATGCGCTCGTAGGGTTGAGACTCTCCCAGTATTTTTTGTAGCAAGCAAGTATAGCACTGGAACTCGATGTGCCAATGGAGAATTCCTCTTGCGCTTTGTTGAAAAGCTTTTTTTCCACAAATATATGCTTTCACTGCGGAATATCTAATTAGATGGAACTCACCAGACAATACTCTGATTAGACTATATTTTAACTATATTTTTGTCAATTACCGATAGAAATATTCTATATTAGCATATGAAAAACAAAGGCTAGTTATTGTTAGAATCTTAGAGATGCTGCATCTAAGCTAGAAAAATGATTCCAGCAAATCATAGAATCATCCTTGTCCAGGAATAACCAGGATTGCATAACCTTTGAACTGTTAGAAGGAACTTAGAACTTCTAGAGAATAAGATGTTGAGAAAGATCTTTATCATCCAATTTTTTTTTAAATAAATAATGTATTAAAGAGGCATTAAAAGTTCGAAATGATGGTACTAATGGATCATGGCAAAAAAGAACAATGAGGCTCTTGGGGAGAATTTGGGGATTTTGCAACGGACTCTTAAAGAGCAATGGCCCGTGGTTAAATATTCACCAAAAGCACTACATTGATGGGTTCTTTTAGAAGAATAACAGACTAACGTAAACTAACGTTTTATTATGAACGGGGCATTGTATAAGGGCGATTAAACAATCGTTAGCTTTCAGAAAAAAATATTAATAGAAAAAATAGAATAAATTAGAAATAGAATAAATTTCTTTTTTTTTCAGGAGTACTCACCATTACTGGTTAGACTCATTTCTCTGGCTTGCCTTAAACTAAAATATGCCAGGAAATCCTTTTTATAAACAGAGTCAGGAGGATTTTGATATAAATGTTACAACAGTTTCTGAGGAATATAAATGGACAATAGGATAAATCAGTGGATAATAATAGCATAATAAATATTAATTATAATACAATAAATATTAATTTATTATAAATATACAATAAATATTAATTTATAGTAATAAATATTAATTTATAAATAAGAAAAAAATAATAGTATAATTAATAGTAATAATAAAAAAATATAAACAATATAATTATATTAATCAATTTTAATAATAAATTAATATAGATTAATATCAACTTATAACAAATAAATAAATAATAACAAAATAAAGTAATAATAACAATAATAATATTTAATAGTGATAATAATAACATAAATAATAATGATTAAAAATAATAATGAATTTAAAAATTTAATAAATTTAGATAATTTAATAAATTTGGCATTAATAGTAATGGCGAATGGTGAATTTAGAAAAAAAAAGGCATGAAGAACGATATGAAAAAGTTAAAAAATTCATTAAAAGAGAGAAATGGGAGTTTGTTGCTTTATTTATTGAAAACTAAATAAATAAAATTTCTATTTGAACTTCGGGAAAAAGTAGAAAAATTTTCAAAATTTTCTTTTCATGGAAAAAAATTTTGAACGAATGTTTATTTATTATATTATTTCTATTTTAATTTTTTTTCCAATTTTTATTTCTCCTTTGTAAAATTAATCAACAATATTTCGGTTTTTAAATCAAATATGCCAGTGAAATTGGTACCGAAATTTGTCATTTCGATATATGAAAAATTTATGAAAAATTCTTTTTTTATGAATGAAGGAATTAAAAGATTCTCTTCGCAGAGGTGATTATTGTGAATGTGAAAGCTATCCAATTTTCAAAATTTGCCCTTAATTCACATTGTGAGCGATGTATTGCACGGATTGGTTTTTTTTTTCAGGAGTACTCACCATTACTGGTTAGATTCACTTCTCTGGCTTACACTAAAATATGCCAGGAAGTCCCTCGGCGACAAAAGTGCAGGTGAGTCGCCAGCATCATCAGGCTTTACTTTTACCTGGAATAAAACCTCAGCATCTGAATTGGGTAACAGCACATTGAATTATTCTACTCCTTAATTCACTTTGTACAAGTAGGTTCAATGGTGCATTGCATATTTTTAAATTATGTTAGTATATGTTGTATAGATGTAGGTTTTAAGCACCATGGTTCGCCTTTTTGCGTTGACATCCAACTCGTTTCTTTTAAATTTCTTTCTTCCGCTCCATTAAATTCTTCATAATTAGAAATGTCTATTGATAATATAGCATAAATCATTCTTTCATTCGCCCTTATTAAAATGCACCGACCATTTTCGGCCAAGTTCGCGTCCACTTGACGGACAAGATAAAGAACAAGATAAGCCCCACCATTACTTAACCATAAAAATAAAGGTGAATCACCAGAAACACATCGATTCTCGGAAGGCAGGTTGACTCAATCCAGGAATCCCAGCATCGTATTTTCCTTGGGTATTTCAGCCAAGCGAATATTTCTTCCTTCAATTTCAACGCGTTTAACCTTGCTGATTAATTTTTAACTTCGATAGTATTCTTTTTCCCTCTTCTCAATGTTTTGCATAGGTATTTATATTATAAATTAGTGACATATTAATAATATATTTAATAATAAATTTTAATAGTTTTCCATGTAGTTCTTTCGAATAGATTTGATGGATTTCAAGTAATTTTTAAATTATCGCAATGGAATAGTTCTGTTACTCAGTGCCGAATTTTATTATCTAACAATTATCCAATGTTTTTCCAATCCTCTTAGTCCTAATAAGTAAAAGCAAAACCATCAAACTGCTCAGCGTAGATTTTGCCAGTTTTCTTTATCCTTTTAAACTGTATTCTGTATTTAGAGAAAAAATAAAATTAAGTAATTTTCACATATCTTTGGTTGTTCAGTAGAAAAAAGCCAAAACCTAAAATTTTCTATTTATAAAAAAAAATTTATTACTATTTAAGAAATAAAAGCAGTGCGAGTTTTGTCCATTTTTAGCCAATTTTAATTTTTTCGCCTATTTTATTTTCTTATTTCATAAAAATTTTTGTTCCCATTTATTTCGTTCCGAATAAATTGGATCACACAATTAACAACCAAAAAAGAAGCATTTATCATAACAGTAATCATAACAGTGCCTAAGAATTATGAGAATTATTGTTATAAGACTTATTTCTTATAATCATAAAAATTTTAGTTTAAATGATTCTCTAAAGAACTAAGCGCAAAACCAAAAGCATATCATTAAAAATATGAATGAGGTTGAAGAAAAATTTGATAAAGTTTGATAAAATTGAACAATTGATAAAAAATTGAAAAATTTGCCGTTTTCAGTCATCTTTTTTCTTTATAATCCTGAAATCCAAACGTCATTATAAAACGTCATTGCAAATCTATTAGGACTACCGGCACAACAAAAAATTCGATATTTTATATTAGTTTCAAAAGAAAAATCAAAATGTCAGACTTTCTTCGAAGCTTAAACTTACTTGTAATAGATAACTTTGCCGTTATAAAATTCCATTGGCCTTATGCTCCAGTGTGATTGAAATTTTATATTCTTTATTTCTTCTGGAGACTTTTTTATAGGCCAAATGAATTCGTTTTTTTTGTATTCAGGAAATGGCTAAAATTCGTTTCACAAACAGATTTCGAAATAAAGCATAAAAAAATTTTCATATCGCCGCCATCCTTTTTCAAAAAAACTCCCTCTGATCATACTTTCATTCAGTCAACAACTTTCACATAAACTACCATCTTACCATCACCAAATTTATTTCCATTCCTTTATGTCTGTTAAGGAATCTATGAATTTAATTTGTGCATTTCTAGTAATCTAAATTTCGAAATGGAATAGAGATATTTGAACGAGAGATACTTGTTTTTCTTATTGAAAAAGCTTAACAGATAAACCCACATTTGAGAAATAAATTTTCGATTTGGTAAGACCGAAAAAGCTTCGTATGTTTGAGCTAAGTAAAAGCAGTGGAAATTGGCAGCATTCTTCTAAAAAGAACTCCTCCGAACTTAGCAGTGCGTAAGTTTTTGAGTCCACATGTCGAGCAACCAAAGGAAGCTTATTATCCGTTTGCGCATTTGCTGAACAGAACAACGATGAATATCCTAGATGGTTATATAAAAAATTATATATCTCTACATAAAAACACAAAATGCCAACGGCAGATATGGACGATTTCAATATAGAAATCTATTCTAACTAAATATATATAAATGAATAGTATTCAAACATTGATAAGATTCGTTTCACCCTACTAAGATGGAACTTCTTCACAAAATCGCCCGAAATCACAAACAGAATTGGGTTGCTAGCACCATCTGTATTGTTACATTACAGATTTATCTTACTAACCAGCATGAATGTAAATACGGCTACGCCACGGATTGTCCCTGTGGAGAATGCACGTAGAGGGTAATAATCTTCTCATTCCACGTTCAGATAACTCACGTACGATCAGCCTGAAATATTGTAAATTTGATGCACGCCAATCCACTCAACTGCTTTAAGTAAATTCTACTTAAATTTATCAATATTAATTGTAAATTTATGTTAAATATGAACCATAAATTTTTAAAAATATGGGACAATGCAAGTAGATTAGTCCAACATTAAAGAAAAATTAAGTCTGATTACTAAAAACTAGTACATATGAGAGGTAAATTCCGAAATTACGTATAATCTGAGCCATTTCCAAGTAAGTCAAAATTTCATCAAAAAAAATAGAATAAAAATACAACTGACTGGGAAGCGGGTATTTTCACTTCCAATTTTTCCAAGCATTTCTTTATAACTTCGTCAATTTTATTAAAAGATTTAATTCGAATATAAAATAAAAGTTTGTATGATTCAATCTGAAATTTTGTGGTACTTAAAGGAAAATTAAATAACAAATTAAAAAAAAAACTTATGATTTTATTATCTAATAAATGAATGCATAATATTTACTGGTGCCAGGCTATTTGTGTAATCATAAACTGCGATTGGACCTTCAATCGGCAATTTTCGCAAAAATGCGTAAATCTAAAAAAAGACATAAATAGTTGAGAAAATGAAGCTCAGACAAGCTCAGAATTCACAGTTTAAAGAATGATGAAAATTCCTTTGACATGCATCTTCGATCATCTTTAATACTGGTTTCACGAAAAATTGCTAGCGTAATGACGGGATAAGGGTCGAAAGAACTTGGCTCTTGCTCTCGACAGCAGTAAACCTATCCTTACAAGAATGCTAGTGTTGCTAGCCACCCATTACCAATTGAATCTCTGACCAAAAGAATATTTTCTGATCATATTAACCGCCAGCGAGGTGATCTAATCACACGAGAAATGGTGAAAGATAATTACTACTTTTTCATTTAAAAAATTTGCGGTTCAACGATAAATTAGTACATTGCAGAAATTTTCATGACAAATTTTTTCAAATTTCTGAAATGCAGCATTTGTATAATAAATATATAAGTGAAACGATTTTTGAAAGCGTATGAATAAATAAATTTTAAAAAATTCTTGAAAACCTTCTCAACATCGTCATCAATCATATCGCAAGCTTGAATCTTCGATTCACATTTCAACTCCTTCGACAAGCCACCTGCATAAAATTTTAGAATTTGTAATGAATTCATGTTAACACGAAGTAAACATGCCAAATGCCTTTTAAATATTCCGAGATCGCAATTTTCACGGAGGTTAATTCTGATTTCTGCAAGAAAACAAACTGCCAGAAAGAAATATAAATATTCAAAAAAGAAATTTTAAAGCATCAAAATCTATAAAAACAATTAATGGCGAAAAATTTTTGTGTGCTTTGCAGGACAAATAAAAATGGCTGACCTCCTTTCGTTTCAAAAAGCTTTGTAACTACGAAACAGCAATATTCTTCAGGTTTTCCCCATGATGGATCGAACTAAGCCAACGAATTATGCAAACATAGGCAGAAAGAATATAATTTTTAATAAAGTGCGATTTTTCTCCGAATGAATTCAAATGTTACGATGAGATAAATAAAATTATCTTGATAAATTCGGGAATTCGAAAAACAGACAAGTTTATAACGAAAATTTGAAGAAAGAAAAATACCTCCGTATCTTCGCCAACAACGTCTTTAAGGGTAATTAAGTTCTTTAAGAATTTTTCTTGCACATTATTCCAAAAATACTTTTCGGGCAATTCAATATACTCGTAGTCCTCTGAATAAATTTCATTAATAGTAGAAATTAACTAAAGCTATGTAAAATTTGGAAAAGCTTACCCATATTAGGTATTACAACCTGAATCGTTAAGAAATAACCAGGACAGAGATCAGCAAACATTGCCGAATCGGCAAAATTCCTTCTTCGATCCTCGGATTCATTGTCTATATAAATCTAAAAACCTTTCAACTAGCTCACTTCATTCTTCTCATCGTATTTTTATTGTTTCCTGCTGATTCGTTGTTTTTTCAATTTCATAGAAATATACGTGAATATTCGTTGATATCATTCTATCCTTTGCCCGTAAAATCTTTTTTTTATTATAGGTAAAATATAGTTTTAAAAGATTATCTGAAAATCGATAATTTTTGCAAGTCCAGTACAACTGGCAAGCAAACAAATTATTTATCTAAATTATCGGTTAATAATACGAATAATAATAATAACGAATTTTCGCAGCACCTAAGTGATTCGTGTATTTCATAAGCAAATACCCATCGTTGGGAATATGTTACTTATTTTTTAAAATCTCTTAAGGCATATTAGTAACAAGGATGATACTATGTATGGTAATCCCATTCTCTCGTCTATTTCGGGAATTTCAAGAAGTTTCAGCAATTTTTTCAAAGAAGTATTATCGTCCCATGGAATCAGTAACGGTACAGGTAAAAATTCATTTCCTTTTATCACCACACGCATTTCATTCGGATTTTCTTCCATGTAAACCTGAAATAAAATAAGGCCAAATAGAAACAATGCCAAATTTTTCGCCAAATACGCCTATCTCGAAACGTGGCTAGCGATTGCTTAAATGGCATAATGCATGAATGACATGAATAAATGGCATAATGGCATAACGATCAGCTAGATTTTTGTGCATTGACGGATTCTCAATGATCAGTGAAGTGGACCAAACGAGAAATAGTGAATTCTTTTTGAAGAAAAGCGTAACTTTATAACTGCGAATAATACCGAATGGTGATACATTTCTAATTTCACAGCCTACTTAACCACTTAAAAGATAAGATCGCATAGATAAAAAGCATAAGATAATCACATAATGATGTAATTTTTAAGAAATTGAGCCATTTGAAAAATTAAAATGAAAAATCACCGCATTTAAAAGTTGCTTGAATGATGTCAAACTGTCTTTTCGGCTAACTTGTAAACGACGATATGCCTTGCTTAATGAACGACTTTCGTAAAAATATCGAAAAACTGAAACAGTGATACAACTTCTCTTGTCGAGCACATCGTAGAAATAAGGAATAACGCTTGGCTTCCAATCCATCAAAATTGCCTTTTCTTCATCAAATATTTGTTTGATTGGCATCTATAATAAAAGGAATTTCTCGATTTTTATTCCAATTTATAATGTTTTGACGAAAATATACAAAATAATTCACGAAACGAGTATAGAACTCGATTGATATTCATACTAATTAAACAATAATAAAATAAGCAAAAAAGCAATAATTAAATTTTCATGGAGAACAAAGCGAGAGGAAACTTTCCATTATCATTTAATAACAATTAATTCAATCAATAAAAATTAAGAGTTAATAAAAATTACCGGTAAAGTTTTAGCCATATCGTAAACACTCGAAATATTTTCATTATGCAATTTTAAAAACCGATAATTATTTAAATCTTCAGTTTTAATATCAGCATTGTATTCACAAGCAATCTTGTCCAAACAGATATAGAAAAGCCTATACATAGAGTCTTCCGCAAAGAAATTTCCTTTAAAAATGCATCTGCCACTACTAAAATGAACTAACATCTGAAAAAAGAAGGCAATTTATTGGTCCGATTTTTATAAAGTTGATTTGTAAAGCACTTTTGAAATCTTCTTAAAAAGAAAAAGAAAGGACGAGGAAAGGAGTAAAACCAATCTATTTAACTAGTTAGGAATTCATCTCTGCTTTCTGAATATTTCTCCTTTCTGCCACTCACAACAAATAACGAATATAAGAAAAATGGACTGAACCACGTACTCGATGAGTTGCCACAACTTTGTGAATTTTCTTTCCTAAATCCGAAAATTGTTCGTCTGGCTGAGACGTTTCAGTCTCTTTTACAGTATTCAAATATGTTTCAATGGAATTGCTTTTCTGAAAAATATTTGAAACGATAGTAGTGGAAATAAAACGAAATAATATTGGTTAATTCTGCAGTGCATGGTGCGGAAATGCCAAAATTTATCAGTAGAACTATGTTCTTGCGCCACTATCTTATGATATGGCCTTAGGACAAAAGATGCAAAATATTTGGTATTTTAAAAGCTCTTTGCCTGCTTTTAACCCTCATCTTAAATAACGTTGTGGTTATTCTACGGTGTTATAATGAAGAAATAGGGCGTTTCGATAATTAACATAGGAAAAAAATGGATATTATAACAAAAAACAGTTAGATACGTTGATGAAGGGAAATAAATCCAATATATAAATATATAAATGGTGCAACTGTGGTAAAATATCTCTGTGGAGAGACAGAATTAGCTTTAAGCCCTGACATATGTTCGGATATAAATCTTGATTAAAAAAACATGTGGGTGATAAGAATTCTGGCTTCAGGATCTCTACCCAAGGCCTGGAAGATTGAGGATTCTATAAAATTTTAGTTGTTTGTTCTTGTTTTATCTTAATTTTAGCTACACTCTTCGATGTTATTTCTGAAACCTGCTAACTTTTTTAGTTTAAGAGTCATAGTTTCAAGTGCTTCATTTATCGCTGGAACCACTCCTGTCTTCACTTTCCACACTTCTAGTTCCTCTTTCAACTCTTGGTATTTCTCTAACTTTTCATATTTCTTTTTCTTAACAGATACCTGCTAGCTTTTCTGATTTGAGAGCCATAGACATAGTTTTAAGTTCATCACTTGATATTGCTATATCTATCGCTGATCTCTGGTTATTATTTCTGTCTATTATATCTGATATTTTTTACGATATCTAGTTGATTGGCCAGCACGCTATTACTTATTGCTTTTCTATTTGAATATAAAGTTAGATCTTTGACATATTCTCCCATCTAGTCATGGGCTGGTCTAAGCCATATATTGAGCCTTCCGTAAATTGTTACTAATCCTTGGTCTTTTACAATATGCTTTTCCTATCCTGTTTGCATTTCGCATCCTGCCACTGCTTCGCGGCTTTTTCTGAGGCGTTTTTTGTGCAAAATATATTGAGTTCTGTCTGGTGTAGTAGATCGCTACTTAGTACCTGTACTACTTCAGTGCCGCCTTTCAATCCAATTTTCCAAACATTGATTGAATTTCTCAATCTCAGCTATCTCAGCTATCTGTCGATGGTATCTCATGGAAGATCTAGTTTTGCCATGTACTTCTTGTGCTTGGTCTTTTTTTCCAATGTCTGTAGATGCTTCAATTATTCTCTCAGTTCTTTTGGTTACCTTACTGCATTCCTAAATCTTACATTTCGAGTTTAAGGTAGGAGATTAGGGACTCATTAAGCTCCATTCCCCTTCTTTTATACTGGTGTAAAGGGTTTTTGGGTGGAAATTTCCGTGCACTGTGAAGAATTTCGGGTTCTTCACATCGACCTTTAAATCTCGCTATGATATTGATTTTGTTCATCCCACGGAACTGGCTTTCCAGGATCCAAGACTGGTCAAGGCAATAAGGCATTATAAAATATCTGATAAGCCACTGCAATCATGAAAAAAAATATATGGTAAAGTAAGGCACAAATGGGTGCTAAAACGGTTGGTTGAAAATGGTGCCACTAATAAATTTTTTTCTTTTTTTTAATTTTTATTTTTCTCTCACCATTACTGGTTAGACTGGCTCTGCAGGCTACAAGGGTAAGACTCTCCAAGCTGCTCGGTCCAGCGCCATCGCTAATAGTAATAGAAGCCATTCCTTTTTCCATTGTCTAAATCCATACATCCCTGGTCTATTCTTGTTCAAAATATATAGGTTCAAAATCTTGACTGTATCAATCCAGATCTTCATTGGTCCATTCTTTTGATGCCAACCACCACAGAGTTTAGCAAATATGCTTAGCAAACAATTCTTGTGGTGGACGACGGAGAACGTGCCCTTACAAGCGAAGGCAACGCTCTATGATAACATTATTAATACAAGTGGTATTTAAGCGAATATGGATACAATCATGTGCGATTTTATCCGCTCGACGGGTTCGTAAAATATTTTTAAAATATAAAATATAAATATATTTTAGACATGAGGGGTATAGCCGATAGCTTCTTAATATCTTCCACTCTTATTGACCATGTTTCTACAGCCATACAGCAAGATAACAGCTATTTGGACGCTAAATTTCGTCTTTATGGTGATTTCGCGATGGTTCCATAAAGGTTTCATCAACCGGAAAAACTTTCTAGCTGTCGTTATCCAGGTTACAATTTCATCCTTTCTCTGGGATTAGAATGGATCTAAAGTAAAATCCAGCACTTCCTCAACCGGAAATGAATTGATTAAAAGAGGCATTTTATCAGGCATTTCTTGTACATAAGACGAAAATACTTTCGTTTCATTTACATTGATTTTGAGTCCAATTCTCGCCGCAGTTGTCAACGCCACTAATGAATTACAAAGCAACATAGAGAGGACGACGATATTTACTGGATTTTTCACAAATTTTGCACGGATATTTTTAAAGGAAACCAAGATGACTGAAAAAAACTGGGTTGTCGAAAGGATTGTAACGGATTGGGCGATTACAGCGATTCTAAGTGGCTCAGTGGCAATGTAACTGCCAGCAAGAGTTGAGACCTGGCTTCGAATCCACTGATGCACTATTCTTGCTTGGTCAACGAAGCATCCTAACGGAAAAAAGCAAAGGAGAGTAGAATGGCATTTGCGTAGTTGCGGAGCACCGATGCCGAAATTCTATTCCCTGGAGTAACAAAAATCCGAATGATACTGGCGATTCATCTTCACTTCTATCCCTCCCTCTATTTGTCTAGTGCAGCAGGCCAGAAAAGAGAGTCTAACTAGCAGTGATGAATATTCCACAAAATAATTGCAGAGATTATGTGATAAACAAGAGCGTTTTTGTACAGTTAGATAAGGTAGTATAATTTAAGAGACTGCAGGTGGATAAAGAGGATGTATCATGAGAATGTTTAAAGAAATATTTCTGTCTATAATGCGACATGATTAAAATTTCTGAAAAAAGGCGAAAAAAGGCTATAACAGATTCAAAGCAATTCATTAGTCAAAGGATTTTATCGGAGATCATATAAAAGTTTTTATTAATTTTATTAATGAATTATGACTTCTGAGCTCAATTATTAAATTTACCGAGATTCCTAAGATTGTCAAGGAGATAACGAGCGGATGTTACGGAATTTAGGTTTCATTTAAAGCAAGATGTAATGTTATTACCAATTTACTAAGGTATTTTTTTGGTATTTTGGCGTTGAGGAAGGCTCTAGACATGAATTATCGACATGGGAAGTAGAGGATGTTGTTCAACAGAAATCTGATGGTATAAAAATTGGTAGATAAATTTGGATCTAACATTTAAAAAATTCCCAGGGAAAATCACAGGCTAACCTCAGATTTTTCCGTCATTGCTTGCGTATTCAATTGTTTTTCCCAGTAATGCGCTGTAGTAAATCAAAATCAATATGGAAAATTTCCCGAAATTCGTTTGATCAACCTGGAAATCTGCAAATTAAACAGTATAAAAATTATGAGAAATGATATATGGAAAAATAACGATGATAATAATTGTGTAATATCGTTAAAATGGTTGATTTGGGAAATTGTAAATTTAAAAAATTGATAATAAATAATTGATAATTGATAAAAAATTAATAGATCAATTCACTTGGATCAAGAGAAAACATCATAACTCATTTCTTTAACCTTATTTTTATATAAAAAATTGAATCCTTGGCTGCGTCACCAGCATCATTCGGATTCACACTAATAATAATTTTATTTCCTATTCTAGTTGATGGCGAATGATTTTGGGAGGAAAAGAGGAAAATTGCGTGAAGTCTAATTTCATTGATTGAACTGGCTAAAAAGTGGAAAATAAGAAGAGCTCAACGACCCACTGAAAAAGTCCCACTCCTTACGAAATAAGAACAGGTCAACTGATAAATCAATAAAAATCTATGAAGAAAAGGTCATTAATAGTTCATTAATATTGGCTAGAATTAATAATCTTTAGCAAGAATCCTTATTTAAATCACTCACTGGTTACTTATTTCAACCTCTCCTCAATATTGCTCCAACTAATTGTCCAGATTATCAACAATGAAGATAATATTTTATCACTGATTGCCTTATTTTTATATAAAAAATTGAATCCTTGGCTGCCTGTGACGACTAGCGATTTGTGATTACATTATATTGTAGTTAAGTGGTAGTGGTCTATAAATAATAAATTAATATAAATTACTGTTACTCAATAAAAATTATTTTCTTAAAGTCGTCACGAGTGAATGAAGGTGAAGCTTTAATAATCTCCATAGTTAAGGAGATAAATTTTATTTAGTGGATCCCAGCAACAATGAGACTTAATTTGCTCCGAGATTTTCTATTGAAGCCGGTTTCGCTGGCGGTTTCTCACTAGTTTATCAGTTAACTCTAACGTTTCCACCTAGTTTGCGGCTTAACAATAATAGAGAAGTAGTTGAAATATGCAACCGATTATCAGTAATTTAAATAAGTTATAAACATTCTTGTTAAAGATTATCAGGTTTTATGGACTATGACTTTTTTCTCAAGGTTTATATCGATTTATCAGTTGACCCTGCATATTTGAGTGGAGATACTCTCAATGGATCAAATTTTCGCCTTTCTCAACTTTAAAGAAATTCACGGAGAATCATGGTACAGGTTAAGCCTCAATTTGTTGATAGAATTGGATAGATGTTTTCTTAGTTTCAGTGCTCATAAAACCACTTATCTCCAGCTGTGTTCGACATTCCTCCTTCTCTTTCCAAAAGCATTTACCACCAGGTTATAGCCGAAATCTGTCAAGATCCAACGCAATCATGATCTTAATTTCCTTTAAAACAATAAAACATTGGGACAATTAAGATATTTTTTTTAGAATCCTGGAATCTTCATTGGTGTATAGTTTTATCGTAAGCCATTGGAGAAATTTATCGAATCACTTAAAAAATGATGGAAAAATTTGATATATAGTATATCACATAGTATGTGGATTATTTATTAGGTCTACCAATTTTTAACATTTTTCCTCTCGATTACTGATAAATAAAATTCTTTGCCTCCTATGTCCTTTATTCTTACACTTTAAAGTTCATGCCAAAACATCAAAAAAATATTTCAGGTTGGTAATAACCGCTTTTATTGTTTTCAAGCCTGAATATTTCACATCACGCCTAAGCTTAACAATTTCTTACCACCGTTATGCGATAGTAACCAAATATAATGTTCTATCAACATATTCATATTCTTCTCTTATTGCAGCCTCTTAATAATCTTTACTGATCTTTTTATTGCCTTCGAATGTTTGGAATGATTGCTGCATTAATTTTTTTGGTTTCCTCTAAAAAATTATGTTTGTGAAAATTTTATCCAAAATCCGTCATATATCCTTATTCCCGTAGAAGTTTGTAACATAGTCTTAATTTGTTGTGAAGTGGCATCATTGTGAGCAACTTTTCATCATTATGGCTTTCCTCCAGATCCATTTGTTTTATGACGTGTTAGACCTTGCAGTGCATTCTTATTATGTCGCAGTTGCAAAATGCGATGTCAGAGGGAGAGAATTTAGCAGGTGTGGTATAATGTAACATGGTTCATAGGGTTATTAAGGAGTTATCAGAAGTTTGTAACATAGCATTTTGCTATCCAATGCTTAAGGGATTAAAAAGGTTAGCTAATAGGATACTATAGACTGTCTCTCAATTAAAATCCTCGACACAAGTTTCACATTCTCTCTTCAAGAAACTCTTTATAAGGGCTCGTAATAACTATAACCCTTGCCTGTTATTGTTATTGTTACCCTTATTATTTTGATACCGATTTTGCTTCATCTGAACGTGGTATAGTTGAAATGGACGATGTAGTATAATTGGTCACATTTGGTGTAATAAGTGTTTGATGAAAATTTTCAAGTATATAAATTATTGTACAATATTTTTAATTTCAGATGCTAGCAAAATAATACTTCGCATCATCCAACGCTGATGAAAAGACTGAAAAATGAGACTAATGTTGGCTGATTGAAAAGCCAAAGAATACCAAAAAGATCAATGCAAAATTTTATTTATCGATATATATCGAAATAACAGAAAGTTTTTGCATTTTAGGATCGACCTCTGATAATAAATAACGGAGCAAGCAATCAAGAAATTCGACGTTAGCGCTCGACCTCCAATGTATCAGTCAAGAAGACCTTGGAAAAGATTTTCATGCTTGTCTTTAACTTAACCAACGATAAAGATTAGAATCATGGCATTCTTTTAAGTCTCCATGGATGAGGAAAATGGCGTTTAAAGAAAACTTCGGAAAAGACTCCTGCAATTATGGGTAATCGAAAAAACAAAAAAAACAAAGCCTATTGTTTATCAAATAAATCAACCTAAAGCAGTTATCCTTGAATGACCAAGCTAAATATATCCTACTTTGACTATTTGACCCTTCGCGAAAACCCATCTCTTTGGATTGCTAGAAGAGATCTGCAAAGTACGAGGTCAATGCAGTAAATTGCAGAGACAATGAGTGCAGCATTATTAGACTTGGAAGATTGGAAGTTGAACTGTGGTGCAGCTCATCCACCTATATGCTATATGGATGCTAGGAGTCAGCCATGATGGCACATTATGATGGCACTTCATGGCACATTATCAACCAATTAATCACAGTTTTCGGCTTGTCCCACTGTCAATTAGGGGAAATTTGAGAATAGAATTATGCATTCATCTTCAGCAGCATTTGGTTTAAGTTTTAATGACAGATTTACTGCCAACAATGGGGCGCGAAATATTAATGAACTGAAAACTGATTTCACTAAATGAAAAATTTCGAAATAAATCATTTTATAAGCAATGCACAATAATGAAGGAGATATTAGCAAATTTTGAATCGCTTAAATTTATACAGAACATTACTAAAATCTCATTTTTTTCTATAAAATATAAAATAGCTTGATGAATAATATTGATCACACGAAGTCGGTGGCAGTTAAACCCATACAAAACAGAAAATTTTAGGCTTTTCCTTTAACAGGTGGCGGAGCTCGTTTCGTTGGAGGTGCTGGCGCTGGTTTTTCTTTTGCGGCTGACTGAAATTCAACACTATTAGAGGCTTTTATGAGAACGCGTAATTGAAGGAAAGAAAAAAAGTAAAAGCATCATTACTTTTGCCGGGGGCGGCTGTGGTTCAGGCTCAGGTGGAGGTTCCGGAGGTGGTGCTTGTTCATCTTCCTCAACCTCGTCGACTTGGGGAACCGAAAGAGGAATAGGCTGGACGGGCGGTCGAGCTGCATCACCCTCAGCTTTCACTTGCTCAACATATTTTGGTGGTTCAAGGTTTTTACGTAATTGTTCAAGTTCCTCGTTGTCACGTCGTCCCCATTCTGGTGGTGGTCGAGCAGTACCATGAGCTATTTTCGGGGGTTTTTTAACGATTGGCTAAAATTAACACTCAAATCACCTTTTTTTTTCGTTTGATACTTTAATAATGATGAAATTATTGTTCGCTTTATTAAAATTAAAATTAAGATATACAGACGAAACTTAAATAATTCCAACAATTGTTGTTAGTTTTAATTAAAGTTTTTTGGATACAAAAAATCTCTCAGATACAAATCATTCCTTTTTTTATTAACAAAACGCACCAATGCTGGTTTTCCTTACCCCAGTGATTTCTAAGGCGAATTGTTTGCTCACCGAATCACCAGATGATCCATTAATCAATTGATTGCCTACCAGATCACCAAATGAACTCATGGTAGTATGTTAAAGAAATTTTAAACCGTCGAAGATTATCACTAATGAATTAGCAAAAATCCAAGGACGAATGCTTATATATATGAATAACTAACATTTTCATATAAATTACGACGATCTCCATACGATCGACGATCAATTTGTCGATCGAATTTGGAGGCAACATTGACTTTCGGCTGAAAAATTTTTTAAAATTTCTCTACTTGCTAGCGATTTTTTTCACAATTCTAAGAATTCTTAAAATTTTCATAATATTCTGTTCATTTTTTATGAATTTTTTATCGATAAAATTGGATTTATTTTTAGATTTTGCAATATTTATAACTGAATTTATAAGGTTTAGTTTAGAAAAGCTGAATAAATTTACAGGATGGACTGATGCGGCGGCTTCGTCCGGATCAAGGCCCTTTTGTAACGCTTTGTTTCTTGCAACTTGCCGTTCACGCTCATGTAATTCTTTCAGCTAAAATCTTTTTCGAAATTAATTCGTATCGCTGGTGCTCCCGAATATTTATAAGAAAATTATCTTTAAGAATTAACAAGAAAAGAATTATCTCTTATCAGACAACCACATAAATTTTCATGAAATTTTGTATTGTAATTCTTTTAATTATTGTATTTCGCTTATCGTTTTAGCATTCTTACGCTTTTATCTGAAAAGTTAGAGGAGTTAGAGGAGTACTCTTAAAAACAAAAAATGACTGAAGCGTATGGAGTATAGAGAAATAAAAATTATGAAGTCTATAGCACGAAGAGAATTATCCTATGATAGGATAATTCCCATCGGGAATCGAACCCGCTGATGTACTACTCTTGGTCTGGTGGCACTATCGCCTAATGGAGAAAATCGAAAGAGCATAGAATCATTCAATGGGTTATTTCAGAGCGCCGATGCTGAAATTCTACCTCCTGCAGAAGCAAATCTATCTGGATGATGTCTGATCTGTTCTATCGCTAAGGGTCTCCCTGGCATAGTCATCTAAAGCGGCAAGCTAATGGAGCGAGTCTGGCCAGCAATGGTAAGGATCTTAAAAAAAAATTAGTCGAAGAAGGGATTTAATTTGTTTGATTGGTGATTATTCATTTACACTTATAAAAGTTCACGTACATCATAATCTTGACGCTCTTGTCGTTTTTCCAGATCATATTTTTCGGCTTCAAGTTTGCAGATTCGACTGTGTAATTGTTTAATTTTGTCTTTGAGATCGTTCGGCAAAAGATCGGCTGGATTTACTGCACGGCGGGTAATTGATGCAATAAATGCCTTTTTGCTTTCTTCTCTACTTTCATTTGAGACTTCTTGTTTTGCCTGAAAGGGTTGGAAGATTTCACCACTATGGTAGTTGGAATTCGCTACGATTCGCCACTATGGTAGTAGTAATTCGAATGGTAGTCGAAATCATATTTTTCATTTGTGGTTTTGATATTGAACTAACGATTTATTGCAGTTCAATCATGCCACATGCTACGATAATAGATAGATACTTACAGCTAAGCTACCAAATTTGTCAGCTTTTTCACTCTTTGAAACAACAAAGTTTCGTCCACCGCCTGTTGTAGTTGTGGCTCCAGCAAATGAACCAGCCATCATCTCTTGTCGCTTTCGCTTCTCCTCTTCTCTTCGACGTTTCTCAGCTTCAATTCGTGCTTTGCTTTCTTCCTGAAAATTGTAAATTGGATAGTTGTTTTCCACTCATTTTGAAATCATTCTTAATTTTCAATATATTTATATATGTATATTAATCGCTTTACTTCTTCTTGGCGTCTTCGTTCCTCTTCCTGACGTCTTCTTTCCGCAAATTCTCTTTCTTCTTCCTCGCGTTGCCGTCGTCGTTGTTCTTGCTTTTCCTTCAGCGCACGTAATTCCTCATCTATTTTTTCCTTTTCCAATCTTCTTTTTTCTTCATAATCTTGTATCTTGGCTGCTTCCTCTTCTTCATGGCGTTTTTTAGCAGCCTAAATTTAGATCATTAGCCATTTTGACTGCCAGTAAACTGCTGGAAGTTAGTTAAGAGACAAGAAAAATTGTTAAAATGTCGTTTTTATCGTTATTTTTTTTTCATGATGCAAAAAAACTAACAAGCATTGCTAATTCAGCTTCAGTTTGTTGCGCTGGCTCTTTCTCCTTCTCTTCAGGCGGTCGTCGACGCCTGAAACGACAAAATATAATTATAATAAAATATAATATTATTATTATAAATAATATTTACCGAAAAAATTATCTACTTGTTCCTCCGATGCTATTCCTATTTACTCCTACTAGTCCATATTTGGTTTTATTTTATAGAATATGAAAAGGAATTATTCTAATTTTGCTTTTCTCTCCTAATGTTAAAAAAAAGCAATAGAAACTTAAGAAATGTTTAATGAAGAGATATGATGGTATTAAACTCACTTCGTCTCTTCAGGCTGTTCTTGTTCCCTGTAATACAAATTAACTTCATTTTAAGTCATACTTAAATTATATAAAAATGGTAGAGAATATAAGCACATGGCCTTGTCCGTTTTGTAAATTAAATGTAAAAGTTAGTAGAAAGAGGTGCAGAAAAAATGCTCCAGAGACCTTGAACAGGTCTAGCAAAAGAAGTATCAACTAACTTTTCTTCATCTTCTGCTTCTTCAGCCGGAGCAGCCTCAGGTTCCTCTACTTCTGCTTCTTCTTCTTCGTCCTCTGCCTCTTCTTCTTCAGAGCTATAAGTATTAAATTCCACTTCTGGCATTAAAATTTAAAGGCCTTACTTATAAAATGAAAACTATGATGATGATAACTGGCCACCGTTTTCATTTGATTATTTTTTTTGATATTTTGATAATAAACAACAATAACATTTGCTGAAAGCTATAAAAAAATGAGTTAAATTTGTTTTATTTGCTAGGAATTAACACAAAACTTACATCTCTTCTTCTTCTTCTGCCATTATTTAATGAAATATTTGGTAGCTAAAATATAAATATTTTTTTTTATGTGCATTTATTGCCGTTTCATATTATAAGATTCGTAAAAAAATATGTTCAAAGAAATAATATCATTGTTTTCATCCACAAAGAAACCACTGCAGAAATTTAAAGACCGAATTATTTTCTAAGATTTCTAAACATTGGAATTAGAATGGTTCAGTGAGTTACTCTTATTACGAAGCATCGATGCTGAAATTTTGCTTTCCCATAAGAAAAAATCTGGCTTTCAAAAATCTGGATTATATTGGGGATTCGTTTGCATTTCAATAGCCAAACGACCCCTTAGCGAGAATTTGTCTTGTCTGACAAGCCGATGGTGCGAGCCTAACCAGAAATATTTTGTAGTTCTTTTAGAAGAAAATGGCAATACATCAAGATTTTTCTTTTTAACAAATCCCTTTTCCTAAAATCAGCTATTATTAAATGAATTTTTTATTCATAAATGCTTTGGATGAATTAATAAATAATACATTTATAATTTCATATATATATCTATGATTATTTTTATATATTTATTTATATTAACCATCTATCAATCAGTGTATTTGTGTAATTTTATCAAAATAATATATTTTAAAATTGCTGCTATATGTATAATATTTTAAAATAGAAAAATAGAACTATTGAGTAATCCATGGTTTATGCTGAAAGAATACTAACGCTAACTGATTTGTTACAACCGAAATTTTATATAATATGAGAAGTCATATGGGGGGTAATAGAACTCAGTGGGTTATAGCTTTCATTTCAGATCGCAGATGCTAGAGATCTAAAACTTTCAAAATTTTTTCTTGGTGATACTAGCAACTCTCACCTGTAATTCTAATGCTAAGTGGCTTCTTGACAAAAATTTGCCTGGTTTAAAAAATCAAAAAGGATTGAGATAAACCAGAAATGGTGAGGATTCTGAAAAAATTCAATGAATATAAAGGAAAAGTAATAATGTAAACATTTGCAGTGGAAAAGATCATTTAAATTTGTTTCTTTTTTTCATCGGAAAATTGAAAAAAGAAAATATTTGTAAAAAATACAACCGAAAGGAAACGAAGGGATTTTGAAAATCCATGGAACCGAAGAATAAAGCAAAACTTTCTTAGAATTTTTTATTAAGCGGCCGTTTAATAATAAACTTTTAGCAAATGTAATTTCTAAAATAAGAATTGAAAATGAGTAGACGATGCAAAAAATAAAAAGCCTAAGGCTATCGGAACGAGCTGTTCATTCGAGAGTAAAATAACACTGAAAATTTAGCTGTGCTCATTTCAGTGCTTTATGAGTTTGTGAAGTGCATACGCCTTCACATAAAACGATTTTTATTTTTTTTGCGGATTCTGAAAACAACTCGAATATCAGTTAGAAATAGCATTTAGCAATGATAAATGTGTAAAAACGCAATTGAAAATTCGTGTTTAGAGATATACGAAGATTGTTTAATTCGAATGTTTGGATACAAATATTTGGCTCAAAATTCCACCTCCTCAGAGGTAAGAGATCAAACTATTTGATGAAAAACGAACAAGTTAAATAAATGAAATGAAATAAATAAAATAAATCGGTCGAGATGAAACTGATAAATTTTAAACTGATAAATTATCATATACTTTTTTATAACCATTAAATTTTTAATTTCAAATATTTTCATAATATTTAAAAAACTTTAATCACCATTTAGATTTTAATTTTTAAATTGATCAGAGTAAAATCAATGTTGCAATTTTTTGAACCCTGAAGAATAACTAAGGAAAATTTTTTAGGAAAAGAAGAGTTTTAAAAAAATTTGAATTGACGATAATAACCATCTTTTCTCGTTTAACTGGATCTACTGTCTGTACATAACTGAGATTTTCATCAGATAATCACTTGAAAACAAAGATTTAGGCCTCGACAATCGCCACTTCAAGAGACTCATTTATTTATTAATTTTCAATTACTATTATTATATTTATCTATTACTATCTATTAATTTTCTACTCGAAAAAAAATCTCTTTCTCGCAATGAGTTGTGTGGGTCATTCTCAACTTCAGGTCTTTTATCACAGAGAGCGTTCTTAAGGGTTCTTAGGCAATATTTTAGCCGTTCCTAGCAGTGCAATCTTGCAATCTGTACAGGGATCTCTGATATTGTTCCTGGTCTGCTGAAGCCACTTTTCTAGCATAGAGGCCATAGACCTTCTCATCACTGGGATTACTTTGACCTTCACTTTCCATATTTGTTTGTATATTACCATTGGCGATAGATGCAGCAATACCAAGTGATAGGAACGTTAGGAAGAAGGAATATGGTAAGTTTATTATTCTCCAAGATTTTCTGGAGAATCTTCCATCTTAGAAGGGTCTAAGCCATATATTGAACAGATTACTCCTGTAAACAATGCCAGCTATACGCTTATATCTTTCAATGTATGTTATTTCTGCTCCTTTTTTGCATAATCTGTACCTTAATTTCTGTTTGATGCTGTAGATTCCCATTTCGATGGATTCGATACTTGTTTTGCTACTTGTTTTGCTGCTACAATCTACTTTTTAGTCCAGCTTTTTCCAGCCACTGATTTCTCAGATTTCTGTTGGCTAAAGCGAATGATTAAAAGAATTGGAGAAACATATTTATATGTATATTAAATGATATTAAATGAATGTATTATCATGGCTGGCGTACTGGTTTTATTACTATTTTCACAGTGAAAAAGGTGAATATTTTCAGTTTTTAAAAAAAAAGGAACCATGCACCTTGCTTATTTAATAAAATATTCCATTATTTTTTTCTGAAGGCTTTCAGCATTTTTTTGGTTAGACTTGTTCTATTGATGTATTAGACCAGGCAAATTTCCAGGCGATAGAAATACAAGTGTGTTACTGGCATCACATGGTTTTTCCAAGGCAAATTCATTCCTCCTAACAATAAAAAGCTTAGCATCGATGCTCACTGAGGCATCTGCTTTCCATTATTTTCTTTTCACTGAAAGTGGTTCTAAATTACATCATTTTTTCGGCGGTGAGAATAATTCGAATGTTTATAGATGGTAATAGTTCAGATTAAAATCAAGGAAAAGTATGGATATAGAACTTATAGACTCAAAAATTGTTATCTTCAGCGAATCTAAGATAGTAATGAAACAATTTTTATAAGTCTGCTACATAACGAATGAAAGGCAGCAGCAAAATCGAGATTTTCAGCTTTATTGCCAACTGTTGTTTTCTTCATCGTTCTTCAGAAATTAAAAGATATAAGAAAATATTCCGCGTATATTTATCTATCAACGAATCGGACATTGTCGTTTAACACGAAAATTTTCTTTCATAACTAATTGATATCTCCCGACAGTTGGTTGCAATGAACAAAAATACGAAAAATTGTTGCTCATTCTTCTTTTCTCTTCATACGCACTTTCGATTTTGCACATTTATTTTTGTGGCCATAGACAATATCTTTCAGAATTTATTTTTCTGTCTCTTTTGCATCATTTTAAATAACGCTTTTTTTACAACAATTACATTTTCTTCAGAGTAACTCGTTGGCTTTCATCGTATCATTATGCCATTACTAATGATTTAATGATTGATAGGTTGTTAGTTTTTCTAAGGGCATTTCTAAATCTCCTCACTCCGCAGGAAATCACTTGATGGCAGAGGTAGAGATAAGTTGCCAGCATAACGGACAGCGTTACTACTACTGGAAGAAACCCTCGTAGCACCAACGCGGTAGCGAAGTAAGTGCAACAACCTGAATCGGTAAGCCATTACACCCTGAAATAAAATAATTTGTTTGTACAATACTTCATTTTATCGAAATCGAACAAGACCACTGTTATATTTTCATAAAAATGCAGCAAATTTACCAGCAATCAAGCGAATTGACTTGAACGGTTGTGCAAAAGAAAGAATGATTTTGTGATTGTGACTTGAATGACAATCGTTTTGCCCGTTTTCCAGTTCTTTTAAGGAGATTAGTAATAAATAATACATGAAAATAAACAAAGTTCATGTTGATTTTAATCCAGTAAAATGCGAATATCAATTTTTTAATTGATGAAATCAGTCATATATTTCCTCAATAAACTGAGGAAAAAATGAAGAAAAAATGCAAAAAAAATTATAAAACTTTCACTTTTTTTGTTAATCATGCAAAGAATAAAATTCTGCAATAATTTATGCTATAAATTTTGATTTTATAGCTTATGAACTAAAAAAATTTATATAGATAAGTCAGCGTAAAGCGAATAAATCCACAATGATATGTTGATATTTGCCTTATCATTTAATTTTATTACTTTATTTTAAGCAAAATCAATCAAAATCAGTTCGTTTCGAAGAACTCAAAAGATTTTAAACCTATATACTCGATGGATTGTTAAATGGATTTCGCGAAGACATCTCACTTCAACTCTTCTCCCTCCCAACTCACCCCATCTCGATTAACGAACTTCTAATGTATAATGCATAATGAATGAACGTTATGATGCATTTTAGTCGAATAAAATTGAATGATTGAATGAAATTATTTTTCTACAAAATTGCAATAAATTGCAATTGAAAAAAAGCTAATGGCCAATTTTTTTTGCTTCCATTATGTATGAAAAGTGAAAATTATATTCTATAAAGTTTAATAATAGTAATAATAACAGTAATAATAAATATTAATAAATACAATAAAACAATAATATAATACAATAATATAATAAATAATGATAATAATAGTAATAAATAATAATAAATAACATAAATAATAGTAAATAATACTAGCTGATGCTCGCGCCTTACCTGTCTATCGCCAAGTGATTCTCTAGCATGTTTAACTAGACCGCAAGTTAGCGAAGGGAATATAACTAGCAATGAATGTTTTAAAAAAAAAGGTAATAAATAATAAATGATGAAAATGGTAGAAACAATAATGATTATAATAATAATATACTCTATTTTTTATCTTTTTCCATTATTTTGTAAAATTTTCTCGACGAATAATATTCATTGAAGAATTTAGTTAAAACTGCATAAAAATTTTATTTCATATTAAAATATTAAATTGCTTTAATACAGGAAATAAAACGGGAAGTAAAATATAATTTTAAAAATCACGCTTATATTCTTCATCGGATTGAATAGCGTGAAATGCTTATCCTTGCAACCAGCAGAGTCAACCTAACCAACAATGGTAAGTTGTAAGAAGAAGAAGAACGTTAAATATAATAAAAATCGCTAAGTGCATTATGAAGGAGAAAAATTAAAAAATATTTAAGAAATTCGAAAAAAATTTTCCATACTTTCTAATTTCCTCATTTTAGCACTTCCCAAAGATTGATTCAATTCAAAAGAAAACACTCAATGAGTATTTTGTAAAGATTTCAGAAGAATGCAGAATGAAGTAGGAAATCAAGAAAATTTTTGTCTCTTATTAAAACTGTGAATGGCACTTTATTTATTTTTGGTTTGTGGCTCCATATTGAATTTAGAGAAATTAAATCAAATAAATCAAATATGCAAATCATAAATATGTCTCTTACAGAAATGAATTAAATAAATAAATTTAACAAGTCAAAACTTATAGTTCCTTAAATTTACAGTTCCATCATCTTAAAACTTATTTTGATATTTATTTATATTTGGATTTACATTTGGAATCAGTAAATTTCCATATTTGAACTAATGATTTTTCAGAAATTGACAAAACTTTTGAAATGTCGCTCTGCAACAAGTTTGTGTTCTCTCCCTCACAATTTGCAATAATGCGATAAGTTATGAACAATGCATGCCAATATTCAAGAGGTATAACAAGAGAATAAATAATAAATATCTGAATCCAAGAAACATTTTTTAAAATTAGACAATATGCTTTAACGGATACGCCACTTTAATGCAAATAATCTGAAACGATTCTAATTTTAATTCTGGGAGGTTCCAATGTGTTTGCCTTAGTTTGTAGATAAATTTTTAATTATATAAAATATGCAATCTTATAATCTTGTAGGCCCATGATTTTGAGCCAAAATTTGGTAAAATTGCTTTTTATAATTTATAATCTTTTAATATGCTAATAAATAATAAATATTAATAAATATATAATTTTTTGGTCACACAAATTAGATGAATAAGCTACAGATGAACAGAATAAAACGCAATAATTCTATGAAACCATTAAACTATTAAAGAAATCAAAGCGATCATTTGAACGCCACTGAAAAAACTTATTTTATTAATAAAACCAATAGTGAATCATTAATTTGTTTCTGGAATCATTAGTGGTATTGGTTTAACCGGGGGTCGAGATAATTCATCTGCAACCTCCTCCACATATTTTCGAGGTCCCAAATTCTTACGAATATTCTCTAATTCTTCATTTTCTCGACGACCCCATTCAGGCGGTGGCCGAGCTGTGCCACGAGCAAGTTTCGGTGACTTTTCATGCACTGGCTAAATAATGATGAATGTTAATAATGATTTTATGAAGTTATAATCTCATTTTTAAAAAATAAAAATAAAAACAAAAATATAACTGATAATCACCGTTTTAAATTAGATGACTTACATTTTCATAGATGATTCGCCGGTCGTTATAGGAACGATGATCCGTTTGTCGATCATATTTTGATGCAACTCTTATTTTTGGCTATAAAGTAAAGTAAAATTTTCATTTCGCTCCCTTACTTGTTTTTGTGAGAAAAAGGCATCTCATTTCCGGTTAGGCTCATTTCGCTGAATCAGACAAAATTCACAAAGAAGACCCTGCATTTCTTATCTCCAAGTGACTAAATGATAAAGTATCTAATTCTAATAGCAGATAAGACGAACCACAAACAGCGAATTCTAACCACTGTATATTCTTATAGTAGTCTTATTTGAACTTTGCGGAAATCAAACGCAACATTGCGTAAGTTCATTTATAAATCCATATGTAACCACACATATTCAAATATGAACATTCAGAGTTTATCAATACGATTTGCGAGAAATTTTTTTCGAGCGTTTCTGTTTAAGCCCGCTTAGCTGGCTTATCGGATAAGACAAATTTTGCAAGGCAAGAAATTGATAGAAGCACAGGTAATTCTCTTGCATTTCTCACACTTTGGGAAAACAGTTTGCTTTTACTCCAACACCGATGTTCAAAAACAGAGTAATAATCCACGAAGTCATTTTATCCCCAAACATTATCCTATATTTCTATTTTTTATGAATTTGTTTAGTTCATAATTAGAAGAAAATTTGAGAAATGTAAAATGGTCATCTTACAGGGCGATTTGATAAAAGGCATTCATCTGGATTTAAGCCTTTTTGTATTGCCTTGTTTCGAGCAATATGTCGTTCTTTTTCACGCAATTCTTTTAGCTAAAAACTTAATTTCTTCAAATTTATTTAATTGAGAATTTATTAAATAAATTGTTCAGAGGCATAAATTAATTCAAAAGAAAACCTACAAAAATATAAAAATCCTACAAAAAGAAAAAGTGAAGGGCTAATGGAGCTCAATCTATAGATTCGTAGCCTGAGGCTTCCAGTATTATTTGTTTAGTTTAAGCAGTTTATTTCGCTAAAATTAGATTAGAATGATGTAATTAGAAAAAACTGAGGCTTATGCACTAGTCATTGTTATAAAATTATTTATTCTAACGTCGTAATCCAAGCCTTCATTGCGCTTTTCTAAGTCATATTTATCGGCTTCTAGTTTAGCCAGCCTTGCGTGTACTTGCTTAATTTCTTGTTTAAGTTGGACTATTGTGATATTTGAAGTACCAATAGGCCGATTGACTGCTGCCAAATACACTTTCTTTTCGTTTGCTACCTTTTCTCGCTACAAAATTCTTTTATTGCATCATTTGGCTAGCCCTGGCGACAATCTCGCTAAATCGTACAATGAAAGATCATGAGCTTATTTTACTGATGAAAATGTTCCTTGCTCTGACCCGCTAAAACCACATTTTTTATAAATTTTATTATGATTTATACCTTATTTCTCATTTTATAGTTCAGGGGAGTTGGTCAAATCGTATTTAAAAGGAAGTGTAGTTATAATAGGCTATGCTCGCTTTAAAAATTAAATAACTGTTCATATTATTATTTATTTACTTGCAATTATTGGTACTTATATTAGGAAAAAGTACCGCTTGTGCTTCTTTTTTAGTTTCATCGTTGGCTGACTTTGAAATTTTCACTATAACATAATTTCTTCCACTATTTGCTCCGCTGGAAAATTTAGGAAAAAAATGTCCAATTGCTAATTCTTGACGCTTTAGACGTTCCTTTTCTCGTTTTATTTTATTACTTTCTGTTTTTGCTTTTGCTTCTTCCTTAAATTTTTTCTGTCAACCGTTTCTTTTTCATTTCATTTTTGTGCTCAATGTTTTTTGTTTGAACCAAATCTAAGAAGAAAATAAGTTGCCATATATTTCCTGGTCGGACCATGCATTAACGACTCATTTATTTTTTTGGCTCCAAGTAATTCTTAATTAAATTTATGTATAACGATTCTGGTTACTAGAAATGGTGAGCCCTTCTTAGAGGAAGGAGGTTTCCTTAAAAGGATTTCAGAATGTCGGAATGAATTATATCTAATCGTACTTCTTCTTTTTGGCGACGTTCGTCTTCTTGTCGTTTTCGTTCAGCGAATTCTCGTTCGTCGTTTTCACGTTCTAAGCGACGTTGTTCACGTTTTTCTTTAAGGATTCGCAACTCTTCATCAATTTGTTGCCTTTCAATCCGTCGACGTTCTTCGTAATTTTGCATTAGTGCTGCTGCATCATCCTGATATCTTCTTTGAGCTGCCTTAAAAGATTTTTAATATTTAAGATTCTAAGTTTTTTTAAACGCCTTTTTTTGACTCTTTGACTGCGACGATTTCATCTTGATTCGGTTTGATTATCACTAATCGAAATCGAATTTAAGTAGGATTGAATGCCACAGCGTCTTTCTATTACTAATCTATTCAGAATTTAGAATGGCTGTTATGAATTTATTACATTCAAACTATCGAATTTTATTCTCGCCATTAATTTTGCGTAAATTTGTTAAAAAGCGAGCATAACGGAGAACGGATTTCCTTAAATGAATAGATTCTTTCGAGTTCGAAACTCGAAATCGTTATAATTTAGCGAAAAGTTCAAAATATAACTGACAAGGAGTGCTTTTGCAGCTTCGCTCATTTCTTCTTTTTCTTCATCTCGAAATTGAACGCATAATAATCGCTTCACTCTGAAATATAAAGTGCCTCATTTGAATTTGCTATTTAATTCATCAATTATTGCTTTCCAATAGAAGAAGCCAACGTTTTTAGGTACAAGCATTTTTAATTTACAAACAATTTACAAAGAATAATGGGGAAAGCATATTCGAAAAGAAAGCGTCTAACTATATTGCAAAAAACCCTACTATACGGCTGGAAGCATGGCTAATGAGAGTGGAGGATATCAGGAAACTAAGCTTATTATTTTTAACCAATTTTGACCACTGAAAGTACTTAGGTGTAGGCTTAGGCCATTAGAATCTCTTATAACTGCATTCATCTTTATATCATTCATGTTAATTATTTTATAGTACGGGAAGGGTAGTCGACTGGCTCGAAATTCCCGCACTGAGGGTCAGTCACTCGGTTTCTAACTCGAACATGAGCAAATATGTTATTAAAATCAGGCGCCATATTACTTATTACATGCTGAGATTTGCGATATATAGCAAAGGTCCAACCAAAGGTCCACTGATACGATCAGGAAGAAATTCGAAGTTATTGTTTACCTAGTGATATATGGGCTTAAACTAGAAGAGCAAGTGGGTTCTGTACTTTTCAGGGCCTTCAATTTTATTTTAATTATTTTGGTTCAAATTCAATTTTAATTTAATTTTACGGAAAATCTAGAAAATTGAACTTAGAAAATGCATTAAGTGGTAATAATAAATAATAATCACCAGCAAAAAAATGACTGACTATAGAAGATATTAAAGTGACTGTTCACTTTAACAAATATAACACTTATATAGGTCTTTCGAAAATTTCTCAGTACCAATACCATTAGGTGTAGCCATAAGCATTTAGAGGATTCTCGATAATTTTGAGGAAGAGAGTGCTTATAGCAGAAAGCTTAGCAAACGGGGCTGGAGTATTTGAGAGAGTGCTTACCATGTTTCTGACGGGAATAAACTTAGCAACAAAAGTGAAAAAGTTAAATTTGGGTTGCAATAAGCTATCTATATATAATCCTATTCCTATTCCTATGACTCTCTGGCGATAGGCCGTAATCCTAATCACCAATGGTACGAATTTAACCAGAAATAATATATGCGTAGAAAAAAAAGGCGCTATAGAAAAAAAAGGTGAATAAAAAGTCAATAATTCTACTTCTATTATCCAAAATTAATTAATGAAAATCCTCAAAATTTCATGAAAATATCCTCAAAATCAAATTCTTAGAAGAGGAAATAAGAGATTTATTGATAAATTTATAGTCTATATCGCTGTTTGTTAATTGTTAGTTACCTTTTATTTTCAGTAATTTGAGTGCCTTCATCTGCCTGAATGGTGGAATTCTCTTCGTCGCCGCTTTGAAACAAACCTCTCATCGATTTAGGAGAATTTTTTGGTGATATATTTTCTTCGTCCTCTTCATTTAACATATCGTCTTCTGCCTGTTCTTCCTCATCTTCTTCTGTATATTCATTTTCATCGCTAAAATTATAAAAATTTCTTTTATTTAAGTATATAATTTTAGCATCTTACGAAATAGAAAATCGTTGCACAAGGAACGGGAAAAGAACGAAAGGAAGCAAGCGATATCGCCAAATCATTTTATTTTTTTATTAAACCACTTAGAAGTTCTTCTTAGGCTCATTTTTTAGACCAGATAAATTTTTTTAGAGTAGCAACCAGCAGCACGCAGATTTTTGAAGTTTGCTTCTGCAATAGACCCCCAGCATGGATGCTCTGAAACAGAAAACAAAAGGCAACAACCTATGGAATCACTTTACCTCTTAAGCCAATTTATTGGATTACTTTCAATATATTTATAGGAATCGTGAAAGGAATACCACCAATCTTTTTGCAGGTTTTTTCGTTCTTTTCTCAAAATTCTTTTAAAAAAACCAAAAACTAAAATTAAATATTAAAAAGAAAAATTTCTCGACAAAATACTAATTTCAATGAAAAACGAATTTTCTTGCTTTATAGCTTTTTAACCAATAACTTGAAATAATTTTTACTTAATATTTTAATAAATTAATTCAATGCAACTTACCATAAATCATCTTCTTCATCCGACATTTCCAATTAATTTGCCGATTTTTTAAAATTTCTCTTAAAGAAATCTAACAGAAAATATTTTCTTGGAAAACGATGCAATCAACTTTAAAAAATTTCTAAGAATTTTTTGTATAATTAATGTTTACTGTTATATTTTACTGCTTTTTATGATTTTCATCCTAATTTCACTTTAGGTGTTTGTAATTTAAATGATTTCGGGCTAAAAGAAATAAACTTTTTCCAGTTTCAGCCAGGATAATTCATCGCAAGCTACCTTTTATTCATACCAACAGCTTGTATAAAGTATAAAGTAGATTTTAATAAAAATTCTAAAATCAGATTCGACAAGGCCGAATCCACTTTCACGCTTATCACTAAAAAATTTCCTGGTGCAAGGGCCTTATTCTAGTAGTCACTAGAGTCAACCAGAAATGACACTCGCTGTTAGAAAGAATGAAAAGAAGAAATTGTGTTTGGTAAACATATTATTATAAGAAATATACTGTGATCCATAATAATCCATAATAATACGCTAAGTGAAGCGATCAAGTTATTCAGGTTTACATATCACATTACGTGAATTCCAAGAACGATAAAAACAATGGAGAAAACCATTGTTTAAATTTTTCAAAAGATTTCAAATTTTCATTCATACATCTTTGCGATTCTCCAACTCCAAAAAGATTTCCCTGGATTTTTTTAAAATATGTAAAATATGCATGTTTATCATTTTCATGAATTAATTTTTATTTCTTGGGATCAATCATCGTTATAGCACGAGTGAATTTTTATAATGAAATTTCGCCAATTTATTTTCACTTATTGTCCAAATTAACAAAATATAGAAACGTTCATGGCCGAGTTATTCTTATTTTGCCGATGTTATTTCTCGCAGAAATAAATCTGCCTTTCAAAAAATTTATTACGATTCATTAGTGTTTCCATTATTATATGACTCCCCTGTAAATTTTCTCTAGCTGGACAAGCCAGTGGAGCGAATCTAACCAGAAATGATGAGCGTTTTTAGAAAAAAATTTCTGTTTTTAATAAAATAATTTAAACATCGACTTTCATCAAATGTTTTGCATAGTGTTAAATTCTGTGAAAGAATTGAGAGAATTTATCAAAAAATCCATAAAATTTAAAAGTTTAAGCTGAAGTTTGATGAAAGAATTAAGTCTGCGATACATTCTTTTTATATTATTTTTAATTATATTTTTTATATATTTATATATTTAATTATATTTTTATATTATTTTTAATTATTTTCTTAATTCTCAAGAAATTTACTTATTTTTGGCATTCGTTTAGACGCTGTTTTCCAGACGAATTATTTTTTCTTAAAGGATTAAATCTATTCAAAGATTATTTATAATAGAAATGAAAATAGAAAGTTGAATTTTGCGTTTCTTTGACGCGTAATTTTGTCACAAAAATGAAGAAAAAGAACGAATGACGAATTTGATTAAATATATTAAATCAAAAAATGCATATGAAAATAGATTTAAATGAAGTTCACTTTAACTTTGCCTGCAAAAAACATTGAACTTTGGATGAAAAGGCTATTTTTTTGAATGGATATAAATGGCGACAAAATGGCGACAAATCGCGACAAATAGCGAAGCCATTCTTTACGATTATAAATATAAATTTTAAAAGAATTTTTATAGAATCGACGTAAAAATATAAATACTCAGCTGTAAAGAAAATTCGTCTAAGTCTATATATCATATATCGCTGGTACATCTATGTTCAAAACCATTCCTGGCTATATCAGTCCAGATCTTGGTTAGTTCTCTTCGTTTTTAACGCCATGCATCACGTTTAGCAAGTAACTAAATACTTTCAAGATGATTTGTTTTTGTCTAAGTTGGATGGTTGTATTTTCAAGTAACTTGGCGTAGTCAATGAAGCGAGCTTTATAAGATATAGTGAGCGGTCATCTTACTTGATGATTCAGGTGCGTTAATATTTATATGGTAGTTGCTTAAATATTATGCTTTTTCTTCTAGCTGCACGCTTTCTTGTTTGGCTGGTTACATCTCTGGTTCTTCTAATGAGGCTGAGACGCTTTCGCCTAGCACCGTCCGGATTTTTTCTTAACGGTGACTTTATTTCTATGCATAGTAACTCAATTGAGCAGAAACTATACTATATTCATGGAAAGTATTGTCCTTTGAGTGGTTTAGTACAGTTCATCAAAACCAATTATAAATTTCGCATTTGAATTTGAATTTTGGTTGCTGACCCTATAGCTGTGCCAAAAAATGTTTCTAAAATATCATCCAAAACTTGAGCAAACTAAGAATTAAGAAAGAATTTAGCTTTTTCCATAATTTTCTTAGCTTTCCACATTTTAAGACCAGTAGAAATACGTACCACGAACTTTAAACCAAAATGATATTTTAAAGAATAGAGATTTAAAAGATATTTCAATGAAGGTTCGTCGATTTCGGGCACAAATTTTTTTTTTTTTTTTGTACCAGAATAATGATTT